AGTAGGGTAGTTACAACAGAACTAGCCTACGACAAAAGCATGAACTATAAATATGAACAACAAGAAATCGGTCATATATAGATAGCATATCATTTAAACAACTACAAACTAATGAAACAAACATACAATAACATACTATGAACTAGATTGGAACCGTTGTACCGGTCTTCTCGTTCTGCTCGACCTGCGAAGCGTTGTCGGTGGCGTGGAGGGCTCGTGGCTTGATGTCGACGTCGATGTCGTTGAATCCACGGGTGCTGACACATCGCTCGCGATAGCTCGCTCGGCATTCTCGTCGGCTGCACTGCTATTCCTCCGTAGAGTGTCGTCTTCTGTCAAAACATCTAGGAGTGTCTTCAAGGCTTCGGACTGTTGATGAAGTTGTTGTCGCACGGCGAGCTGTTCGCTATCGCTTCGATGCCGTAGCTGATTTGCATGCTTCTTGCACATCTCGTCGCCAACCATAACTTCATAATTGACACGTCCAATACGCCTCATCACGGTTCCTTTCATCCATTGGAAGTGGGGTGGCTTCCACTGTTTAGCGTAAACCAAGTCACCAACTTCGAATTCCTTTCGAACGACTCCATGCTTCTGGTCGAACTGATCCTTCATGCGCTCCCGTCTCCTTCGTGCGAGTGGGTCTTCTGCATCTTCTGTCATCGGGAGTAACAGACTTAATTTTGTGCGCAAGTTTCTGCCTAGAAACAATTCCGCTGGCGTCTTGTCGTTTAGGTTCGTATTTGGTGTTGTCCTATACGCTTGTAACACCAGGTTTAGAGTCTCTTCTGTTGGCCTCTCCCCCCCTCTAGTTTCTTGATCCCGCGTTTCAGCGTGTCAACGAAACGCTCTGCCTGTCCATTCGATTGAGGGTGGTACGGAGCAGTCCTTATATGTGTGATTCCACCTTCGTCACACATCTTCTTGAACAAGTCCGACGTGAACTGAGTACCGTTGTCGCTCACTATTGTTTGCGGTAATCCATATCTCGCAAACAAATTCTTCAGAGCCTTCACCGTCTTCGCAGCCGAGATATTGCTCATCTCGATCATTTCCGGCCATTTGCTGTACGCATCTACCACGACCAAGTAGAAGACTCCTTGCATAGGTCCAGCGAAGTCAATGTGTATCCTCTGCCACACTCGAGTCGCGGACGGCCATGCTTCTAATGGTACCTTCGTCGGATTTTTGGCTAATATCTGACATTTCGTGCATCTTCGTACCAAGTCTTCGCAATCTTTATCGATGTTCGGCCAGTAGACGTAACTTCGAGCTAGTTTCTTCATCCTTACTATCCCTGGATGACCACTATGCAGTTCCTTCAGAACATTTCCTCGAAGCTCCTTGGGTATCACAACCCTTTCGGCTGACATCAGACATTGCTCGACGATTGACAATGTATCCCTTCGATTCCGAAAATATGCCAGTTCTCCATTCATGTCTGGCCACTGCCCTTTCTTCAAGTAGGTCATTACTCTTTGTAGCACTGGGTCCTTCTTCGTGTAGGATTGCACATCTGATACTGTCACTGGTAGTTTCCTAACACAATTCTTCAACATGTAGGCTACGTCGTTCTCAACGGCAGCTATTACGACGTCTTCTTCGTTATTCTGACTCTTCTTCATCAACCGTGACAAGCCATCTGCTTGTCCAAAGTTCGTAGTCTTGACATACTCTATGTCAAAGTTATATCCAAGCAGTATTGTAGCCCATCTCATGAGTCGGTTAGCAGAGTAGACTGGAACTCCTTTCTTGTCACCGAAAATGGCTAGCAATGGTTGATGGTCCGTCAACAACAGAAACTTTCGTCCAAATATGTACTTGTGAAATTTCTTGACAGCAAAGACAATTCCCAATGCTTCTTTTTCGATTTGCGAGTAGTTCTTCTCTGCTTTCGTGAGAGATCTCGATGCATGCGCGATTGGCTTTTCGGATCCATCGGCATACCTATGCGATATCACACAGCCGATGCCATAGTCGCTGGCGTCCGCTGCGACGACGATCTTCTGCTTCGGATCATAGTGAGCAAGGTTCAGCTCACTTGACAAAGTTTCCTTGAGCTTTTCGAACGCTTCTTGGTGAATTCGAGTCCATTCCCACTTCGAATCCTTCTTCAGCATCGCATCCAAAGGTCCACGAAGATCCTTGATCCTTGGCATAAACGCCGCATAGTACGTTATCATGCCAAGAAAAGCCCTCAATTGACTAACATTCTTCGGCTCATCCATATTCTTGATCGCTTCGATCTTCGCTAAGTTCGGTCTTCTGCCATTTCGATCCACTATGAAGCCAAGATATCGTATCTCTGGCTTACCGAAAGAACACTTCTCTAGACGAATTTTGAATCCATATTCGTCGATCCTTGCAAACACAGCTAACAGATTCTCCATGTGTTCTTCTTCTGTTCGACCACAGACCAAGATGTCGTCCAGGTAGCTTGCTACTCCTCGCAGACCATTCACCATCTTGTTCATGATTTGCTGGAAGATCCCTGGTGCTGTCTTGATTCCAAAAGGCAGTCTGTTGTACTGGTAGAGCCCTCTATGCGTATTTATTACAACCATTTTCTTCGCTTCTTCTGACAGCTCGATTTGCAGATAGGCATCCGACAGATCTATCTGCGAAAACACCGTGCCTCCATTGAGGGATGCGAATATATCCTCCGGCAATGGCAACGGGTAATCATACGACTCCAGCGCTTTGTTGAGTCCAGTGGAGAAGTCAGCACACACTCTCAGTTTCCCATTGGCCTTCCTAACGCATACGATAGGGGCTGCCCATTCGCTATGTGTCACAGGACTCATAACCTTCAGGTCCAATAGCCTGTCAAGCTCCTTTTCGACAGCTTCGAGCGCAGCATGTGGAACAGGTCTACTAGCCTTGAAAACAGGACGAACGTTTTCGTCAACTCTCAAGTGTGCCTTTTCCTTCGTGCATAATCCTAGACCTTCTTCGCAGACTTCTGGATAGGCTTCTTTCAGCTTCTGAGCGATGTCATGGGTTCGCTCTGTCTTCACTTCAGCAATCATTCTGCTTAAGTGATAGGACATATTTTCGTTCTTCTGAATCCACTCAAGTCCTAGCAGTGAGTTGTGAGGTGTCACGTATGCGTAGCCTTCGCTTTTGGATCCTTTGATTTCGTACTCACACCATAGTTTTCCATGGACTTTCATGGAACCTCCACTAGCATTTTTGACGACCACGTTCGTGTGCTCCAACCGAGGAGCGCCCATGCTTCTCCATGTTGATTCGTTCAAAAGTGTGATGTCTGATCCAGTATCTAGCAGAAAACTAACTGGATGACTATTCACTCTTGCTTCGATATACATGCGTGTCGAGTTGACATCCACCATCGCATTTGCAATCTTCGCTACGCTGTGCACATGACGTTTTGGTTTCGTCCAACTTTTGTTCTTACTGGTGTCGCTGCTGCTGTGGATTCTTCGTTTCGAATGCTGCTGAGTAAGCATTCTCTCCGCTATTTGTTCGCAAAACTTCTCCTTATGACCTGTCTTCTTGCATTTCTTGCAAAACCACAGCTTAGCTTTGCAATCTCTTGAAAAGTGTTCACCACCGCAGTTCCAGCACTCCAGTTTTTTCGGCACTTCCTTGCTTGTTGCTTCGACGGCTTTAAAGCACCCAGCTACAGTCTCACTATCCTTCTTGAGACTCAGGAAGTTTTCGCATTCCAGGTACAACTCCTGCAGCGACATTTTTCGTCCGGCCTTGTATTCTTTGTCCAGCACGGCGATGAGTCGCTGCCTGATTTCAGCTTCTTTTTGGCTCTTCAAGCCAAATATCCATAGCAGGCATTTGATCCCGTCGCTGTCGAGGTCGTGGATCTTCGCCTTTTCGCACAGTTCGTTCACTCGACCGGTATACATGAGGTAATCTTCGGAATCCGCCTTCTCCAGCTTCAAACACTGGTACCTCATGGTAAATTCGGAGATCTTCACGTCGAACAGCTGCTTCAATGTTTCGACCGTTTCTTCGAATTTGATGGTGGTTACCTCTTTCGGTAGCACATGCCTCTGATATTTTTCGAAACAATCCTTGTCCAGTTTTTCGCACAACAGCCTTACCCTGGCGCTCTCTGTGAGCTGCTTCGCGTCTTCGACAAAGACTTCCTTGTAGCGAGCGTACCATCTGCTGAAGCACATATCCGCCTCGGGGTCGAAGGAGAACTTTTCGATCCTGTTGCTGAGCGCGGACATCACATTCGGAATTTCGGTTGAGGTACTGCTTCGTTCAGTACCAGTAATGTGCTTCAATATCTCCAGTAGTTCTCTTCTTTCTTCTTTCATCAGTTCTCTGAGATTTCGCTGATCTTCTTGGAACTCCTTCAGCATGATCAGCATCTCTTCTGATCCCATCTTCGCCATTCTAGTCGACTACTTCTGCTGCCGGGGGTTTCGACTGCTCTCTGCCTTCTTCGACTCCACGTGTCTTCGTCCTGATCGCCACTGTTGTGTCCTCCACGTCGGACACGTCGACTCTTCGTCCTGAGGCAGGCACAGAAGGAAATATATTTATTAAAGAAATAATAGAGAACAATAGAATATGAGGCAGATGAGTGAACGAACGAACCGACAATGGCTAACAGCGAGCGCCTTTTATAGCGCTCATTTCCCGCGCAATGAGGCTGCAGGCGCCTCAGCGAGGGCAGATCATACGAGGAAACAACTGATCAGACATTAACACAACAATTTCAAATATCAGTGAGTGAACGATATTTGAAATCTTCAAAAAATCGAAAAAGGTGAGGTCACCTCCCTCTTTTTCGCTCACGAGCTGGTGCAGTTAGTCGAAATTTGGACCAACCATGTCTTTCACATTTGTCAATAGTAAACCGTCTCAATGGAGAATTAGCTTGACTCATGTATTTCTTAAGGTGGAGTGTGGACAGAATCTATCAATTTTAGCTCAGAATATAAGGCGAAGGTTAAAAATGATTATGTATCATGTTCTGCTATCGAATTTGCCACAAATATTGCTTTCAGCAACCTATCGATGGAATCCTCGGCATGGGATTTTCAACACTTTCCTCGACAAATTTTGTTCCGATTTTTGAACGCGCATGGAATCTGGGCTTAGTTGAACCAATTTTTACTTTCTACATGGAGCATGCAAACGGGTATTGTAAGTTCTAATTCCTACAGAAAACAGCGTGTTTTTCAAGAATAAACAAAACTGCTTCTTCTGGGGCGTAACTTGCAATGAAGCAGTTTGTGCAGGCAGTCCAGCTCTACCTCTATTTGAAGTCCAATGCACCAGGCATCGCTCTGTTTGGAAAGTCGATTTTACATACCCAGTTTTGTTCCTAAAGAGTGATACTGGTCACGAATTTTGCCGTATAAGAACACATTTCCGTCGTTATGTTATAGCGATTGAGATTGGGGACCAAAGAGCACTACTATCAAGTCCCAAATTTGAGTGAGATTACAGCGTCACGAGGCAACAGTGCTAATCTGACCATTTTATCAAAAGTTTGGGTCGCTACTATTTCGTGTTGATTGTTTTTGGAAATATGCGATATTTCTTTGCAGCAAAACAATCTGTATATGGAGGATTGGTCACTTTTGGCGGAGAAGACCGTGAAAATTGCGGTGAAATTATAGCATGGCAAAACCTTACTTCAGCAAGATACTGGGAATTTCAGGTACAAAGAAGTAGTAGTAGTAGAGAAAACTGACTGCAAAACAATTATAATGTCCACATTCGCATTTAGCAATTATGCAAGGAGATTAACAGACCTTCTAGCAAACAATTATTTAGATGGATGGGTACTCATTCGGTGGAAACAAGATTATGACTAGATATCGCGCCATTTCTGACAGTGGAACGTCTTTCATTGGCATGCCAGCAGAAGTCGTGCATCAAATTAGCAAGGCATTTAACGCAACGGTCTGTATTCTTTCAACCGAATTAGCTAATTCATAGCAAATACCAATCGGAATAGGGCAGGAAAACGAACTCCGCCAATGACAACCTACTCTGCGGAACACAGATCCTTCAAACACGTCTTACTTAATCGTAACAGGAACAGTATGGCGCGGAGGCGGTGCTTAATGTCGGAATTTTTCTCCTGTTACCAGAACGGTCCAAAGCATACATGTAAAGCTTGTTCAAACAGTTGACCGGATTTCCGCGGCACTTTCTCAGCTTTTCAGCCAAATCACCTGCAGAAACGCCGCAAAAGTGCTGCGGAGATCCTGAGAAAATTGATGACTTCCACAGCACTTTGTATAGGCTTCCGCAGCACTTTGCGGTTTCCGACATCAATTTCTGATCAGCTTATTGCATATCAAGCTTGTTTTTGAAATACTAGTTCTCCTCTTCAATTGAGTCATTCTTTTTACGTAACACTTTATTTCGAAATGCTTGAATGAAACGCAGAAAGCGAGGTATTTCTACTAGGAATCGAAATTAACACAATGTTTGTTCTATGCAAAGGCACCATATAGGAACACAATAGACTACGCTATAAAGATGACGCATGTTGTTATTGCGAATCTAATGTAATATTAGGCTGCTGCATAAGTTCTGTCCGATTCAAATTTTTTGAGTTCAAATTGTCATAACTTCTTTCAAAGTCAACTTTTTTCCAAGAGTCATTACTTGTGCTGAGCATTTCCTTGGCTATCAAACACATATTGAGACGTGCAGAAATCCCCATTAAGGAAGAAACAAAAACTCAAAAAATTTACGGCGTTTTCCTTCAAACCTGTCTTTTTTGACATGGCAATGCTCCCCTATGAGAATTGGCAGGCATCTTATCTAATAATGGGTAGACAGAGAAATTTTCTAGATTAATTTGCTACATGAAAGAGCCCACAGGGTCTGCGTTGCAAAAAGATTTTTTTAACGCGCAAAAGAGAAGCCACATTTTGACCTCGCTTCGGCACATGTCTGCATGCCTATTTACGAATAATGAATATTTTACAAGAGACATGAGAGCGGAAGAGGAACTGGTGGATGGGCCTTGCTAGCCCTTGCTTTACCCTAGCACCTACAACTTTGTACTCATCGATTACTTCTACTCGCAAGAAGTTATCACTTGTATTTATACAGAAAATTAATGTTCGACAGCAAATTTCACTAGCAAGACGTTTTCTTCATGCAACTAAGCTTGTGCATATACTGGCCTTCTATACCCTTATTTCGCAACCAATTGAAGAACTTGATTTAAAGGCTCATTGTGGTTTCCTCGCAAGAACATATTTCTAGGGTGAGAACGTACCTCGGCAACTTGGAGATTTTAGGTTTAAAATCCCCTTATGCTAAGAAATTTGCTGAAATTTGATATGCATTAGAAAGAGAAAGAAAGGCATTTCGTAATGATACCAACAATATCGCATTAGATATAAAATTTTCTTAGAGCTGCTTTAAACAAGGCAAAAAAATCGAACAGAACTTATGCAGCAACCTAATACATAAGCGACTACGGTAACCGGCAAATATCAGGAAACCGGGGCATGATATATCATCATAAAACAATGCTACAACGTGGAGGTTTAGCAGGTCTATTTTATAAACAGAGAAATCCCGCAAACTATACGAATCGTTAAACCGATCATACACAAGCGATTCAACACTATATGTTATAAGAGAAGGCGATATGTGTGTAAAGATAATGGGAGTGTGATCAACATTTACATCATTTGATGTCAAGATGCAAATAGTGTCAAGGATGGATGCCGTAATGCACATAGGCAATGATTATTAATTATTGATCTTTACCATGTAGACTTTGTACTGTGGCGGCTACAAATAAGGCCGCCCGGCAGTTGTTTTAGTTGTTGTAATCTTCTCCTAATTCTAGTCTTCTAATAAATTCTTCTACAGGGTGGTCCACATGAAATGTGACGCAAAAAAGTTTTCGTAACTTTGATAACACTCAGTGAAATTGAAAGCTTTTGTTTTCATCTGATAGACAGGAAGATTCCGTATAAGACATTATAAATTACTTTCAGAATATCTACCTCCGGTTTTGAGGAAAGATTTTATTCTGCTCGGAGAAAATTTCAAAATGCGCGCAATGGTTTTGGGCGAAACTTCGTCCCAGGGTCTCCTTTCAGCGAATCCAAAGAAATGAGTCTGGAATTGCAGGCATTTCGCTTACAGATAGGAAAGAAAGAGAACTCGTGGGTTCAAAGATATTGAGTGGAAAGGCCAAACAGTGTTTTTTTTTTTATATGTGTCTAACATGATGTTTGACGGGCTGCAAAAAATTCATTTTTTGGTTTTTTCATTCCATGTTTTGGTAATAGTCGTCTTCTCCATATTCTTTTGTCCCGTTGTGCTTGATTCCGACCTTGGTTCTTAGTAAAACATGGTCAAGCTTGAAGGTTCATCAAAGTCAGTCGCCATGGCAACGAAAATCGGGAGATTCTGGAAAAAGCATCGAAAGCAACGTTTGAAGGGCTGTGGCACTTTTCTTGGATCAAAGGTAATACCACAGACGCTCTTGAGAATTTTTAGCATGGCTAGACACCAATCCACAGCGAAAGGAAGAATTTGCGGTTGTGTAAAATCCATCGTTTGGACACTGGAAAAAAATGATATTTGGCCCTCTAGCTCGCCCATCCTTGAACCCACAAATATTATTTTCTGTCTGCCTGAAGGTAAAAAACCTGCTCTTCAAAACTCATGTCATTGGGTTTGCTAGGAAGAAACTTGTGAGAGTTTGGGAGCAGAAACCATCGCGCGCACGAAGAATTTTTGGAAGAGGTTTGGAAGAGAAAAAACGATTTTAAATAAACCAGGGACAAATTATCTCAAAAGTTAGTTAGAGGTTCATATGTAGAATTCTCTTCTATAGCAACTGAGAACAAAAGCTACTGATTTCATTCAGTCTTTGCAGAGTTGTAATATTTTCTTGTTGTGTCACACTTCATGTGGACCATCCTGTATTACTCTCTCGATCCCTACCTGGTCATCCGTCCGCCCTCGCACTAACGACCCCGGTTAGTGCATGACAATAGCATTAAACTCTCAAAGGAACGATAACATGAACAAAAACAGTGAAAAGGAACTCAGTCTTATACAATAAAGAAATAGAATAAGCACTGGATGGCAAAGAGTTGTATGACATAACGCAAGATTATTTCAATCACAAGGTTGAGATAATAAGATGACCTTTACAGAAAAGATGCACTCTAATGGAGGTTAGCCCCATTTCCATACATTAGCTGCCATGTTGGCTTTGTCTGCGCGACTAAAACCGACTTCCGCTTCTTTACCGGCCCTGAAATGATAGTGATGTTCAGGTATTTTTTTAATGTAACTTGGACTTTCAAAAGAACAGGCGTCCTTCATGTGAGTCGTAACAATGCATGCCCTCACTGAAAATGTAAAGCTACAGCTGAAAAGTCATATGTAAGAAAAAGTCACTGCGTCCCTGTTGTCACGTTCTGGTGCTCCACTGCGCCTTTTTAGGTTGTTGCGGTAGTTCTGTCGCTTTATTTGAAAACTGTATTCCATGCTATCACAATAAAATTCTGTTCTTGGTGAAAGAGGAAATCGTGTTTTTTGAAGTGGAATTTTGTCGGATTGCTGAGATGAGGTGAACGGGTGGATGAAACTGGAAGAGCGCAATCATTTCAGGTTCTTTCATTCTGAGTCAAGTCTTGAATTTTGATTTACTAGATCATTAGAACCAGAATCTTCAGTATTTGTATACAAGTGACCCGCTCTTCCTGACCGTATCAAACTTGTGCACTGATCGTCTTTATTAAAAGTTTTGATTTTTGATCATAGAAAAGCGAGATGATTATTGTAACCCCTACTTCCCCAAACTCTTCTTATTACTTCCCTAAATTTCAAAGAATCATGACACTCCTTCCAAGAGAATTAGGAAAACACAAGTCAATCTTTGCAACAACTGGAAGTAGATTAGCTCACAACTCAAAATGACCAAAATGGCGAATACTATGATTATTAATGGTCAGTAACCAAAATTATCTCTTTATCAAACAGGCCTAACGATTTATCGGAAAATTGCTGCAACCCTCAGATCATTAGGTGACGAGAAAAGATAAGCGTTCTTCTTGCTATCATGGCAAAATAGATCAAAATATTCAAAAGACATATTTGACAGAGCATCACAAGCTTCAAAAGGTGCCTACCAGACTTCCGCACAACGTCTGAACCAAAACCATAGTCAAAAACCTAAGAATTTCCTAATGCTACATATTGTATTAGGTTGGCACATAAGTAATGCAACTTTTTATATAACTTTTGTCTATTTGAACGTAGTGCATTCATTTCTTGGCAATATAAGGAACATGATGTAAGCTTCTAATGCACACATTTTTACCGAATTTTACCATCTTATGTGAGGATTACGGTAGGCTTACGGTACTATGGGAAAAATTTTAGAATGCATCAGATTTTGCTGAAACTTGGCCTATAGGGCTTATTTAACATGCTGATCACAAAAATGAGATCCGTTTTGCATGAAAAGGCCTCGTTCGTGAAATCAAAAGATGAATTTCATTTTAGCGACAAATAAATGTGATATTCGTGTTTACCTCATAGGATTACCTTATAGTGCAAAGTTATAGCGAATTATGACTTTTCGCAGCTCAGTTATCGACAAATTGCCTTCAAAACTTGACGCATTTGACTTGTTCAACTTCTCAAAGGCGCCCCACCTTAATTTGTGTTTAAATTTCATTTCTTTTTCAGATTCCAATGTGCCAACTTCCAGCTACATGCTGCCTATAATTGCTTTTCATATGTTTGAATCAGGTTTCGTAGAGCTTCATGTTTGCCAAAAAATCGTGAAACCTCGATTTTCAGCAGTTGTCAAAAAATGCTTAGAATTTTTGTACTACGTTATCAAAAATCAAACGGTTTGCTCAGACTTGCAGCTTATATCACGATCTACATGATGCCACAAAATGAGATTGCTACATAGAATAGGAAAAACGTTACGGGAAAAGTTGCAAAACTTATGTGCCAACCTAATATTTTGGTCTAAGAAATTCCCAGAATTCCAAATTTGGCCTCACGCAGAAAACATAAAGTATTTTTTAATACACACGATGTACTTTTTCGCTCATGAAAATCGAGACGTAAAGACAATTGGTGAATGACAAACTTCGCCCTAAGCTCTCACACATGCAATTGTATAAAATAAGCCTAAAAAGTGTGACTGTACATTTATAGCTTTGGTTATGCTCTACCTATCTAGAATAATCGATTTTAACATTAATGAATACCTAAAAGTTTTGATTTTTGCACTGTATTGTTTTTCAATCAGATGAAGAACCCCAGAAAACGCATTTGTAAATATAGCCCATGTCGAATGATCGAGTAAGTAGGATTTCTGCTTACAAAAATCCGATTTTTAGGTACCTAAACTTTCATGATTTTGACCTCGAACTTTACGTAAATCGAATCATGTGCGGGCTTTTAGCTGCTACTTGTGAAGCCCGCTTTGCTTCATCAACCTCTACGTTAGATTTTTTGTCCTGTAGCATAGCAAACGGGATTCAGGCTCATTCTAGCACAACCTAACGGTAGAAATGGTATCTAATTGATCCAAAGATCGAACATTATTACAAAATTACCTTTAAGTTTTTCTGTCAAGAGGAAATAGGAGGCGTAGTATATGAGGCGCCGCTATGATTGTCCTATGTTCGACCCCGCGCCTGAGCCAACAAACTCTCTACCTCCGAGGCAAGTAAATGTACCAGAGTAATTTCGGAGAATAAAAATCTGTAATCGGCTAGCCCCCCGCAAATCACTGTGAAATGCTCGCACGCATTCAGTAACCTCTTCGACTATGAAGTAAAGTGCGTTCGGCGCGGCCCGATAATAATAAAAAGCCAAATCCTTTATCCTTTATCCTTTATTTTCCTTGATAGACACTGTATATTTTTATAGTTTCTTGCTAGTATGGAAAAGTTTTTCAAGTATTATTTTGAGGGGTTGCTGTATTGTGTTGAAACAGCTAGCGTGAGTGAGAATAAATTGGAAACAAAATTGAAAATAATTGGAAACAATGGGAGCAAAGAACTAAAAGAAGGAAATAAAGATATGAAAGCAGTGGCGGTCCGAAGTTGGGGGGGGGGGGGGGGAACGAAACTTTTTGGGGTGGAATGGGAGGGGCTCAGCCACGCTCTGCGAGAAAAGTCTTACAAAAAGTTTGAAGTGTTTCAAAAATTAATTTGATTATTCACTAAAAACAGGACTTGCACAATTTTATGAGCCTTGCAATCATTTTGAAAAGCCTCTCGATCCCTTTCTCCTTCAGTCCGCCACCGATGAAAAAGTATATTTGAGTTGGCAGCTCCATTGCTGATGTGTAGAAAGAAAGTTCCAATAAAGCATTGCCCGCCCTAAGTTAGTAGTTTTGGGCATTTTGGCAGCGTCGTTGCTTCAAGAAGTCCCTTCTCTGAGTCCTTCTCCAACAGCTGGTGATGATTGTTCACCCAGGTACACCGATACTGCAAGATTATTGACTACAACATGGATAAGTACGAATTGGCTCACGTATCGGATAAGTTGAAAAACAAAAAGAAACAAAACAATACAATGTAATGCATTACACAACACGCGTTGAGCTATGGCGAAGTCGCAGGTGGAGTATGCATGTGGAGTGAATTATGGCGAAATTGCACACGAGTAATTTAAGAGCCAATGATTGCGGCGTATGCGTTCGCTATTTCGCAGTCGCAAGTGCATGCTCGCTCAAAATCCTGCGTAAATGTTGCCAGGCCCAAGTGCTGCGGAAACGCTACGATTTTACAGCATTTTGAAAAGTGCTGCTGAAGATTCGGTTCGATGGCTCTGACAACATTTTCCTGAGAAAACCCCGCATTATGGAGCGTGGACTTTCTCAAGTTTAAGAAAGTGCTACGGAACTGCCGCAGATTTAGCCTGTCCTGCGAAGTCCGCTGAACAATTTGAGCCGAAACACAAGAAGGTTTAGTTTGTGCGCGCTTAGGGGAGACACTATCAGACAGAGACTAAAATGAATCCGTAAAGAGGCAAGTGTCTTCACTGTTACATGCTATGGCGGTACTCACGTGATGTAACACCATCTCAAACGATTTCTCAGCTGCGCCGCGGGCACTTGTTTCAAAACCATGCCGCTTCTCACCCATAAATTCAGATTAGTTCCGTTCGCTAGCATGTCCTATAAGGAAGTCCTAAATCCGAACTTTCAATAACAAGTCAAGCTGTGCGATATGCTCTGACGCAAAAAAAAACGAAAGAAATTCAAAAATAAGGCATCCAGTAACAAGAGTTCCAGAGGAAGTGGTGGCCCCATATCCTACTGATGTATCACGTTGGCACATAAGTTTTGCAACTAATTTTGTAACTTTGCTCTTTTTAAGTGTGACGTCAATCTGGGCATAACGTAGCTTAGATGGTAGGCTACAATTATGCGAAATAGGTACTTGGTAGCAAAATGAGGACAATTCAAGCATTTCTCGAAAGCAAGTCAAAATCGAATTTTTACAGGGCCGGATTAACAAGAATAAAGCCGTTCTCAGTCTAGATCAAACGCATCAAACCGAAAATGTACAGATTAATATAAATTCCTCTAAATCATCCAGGTACAGTTTTCGGCCTGATGTGTTTGATCCAGATTGATAACGGCTTTATTTTCGGTTTTCGGAATCTTGAGATTTCGAACTTGACCAACTTTCGATAATTTCGTAAATTCTCCACTTCGCTGACAAAATCAAATTGCTTGTGCACATTTGTACCCTATTTTCAGGTGTATAAGCCGCACCTTTTTTGCTCTAAACGCGAGCAGGCCCAAGCGTGCCGCCGCGCACGTGCTCGCGAAGCGGTCGCTTCTTCGTACATTGCTCTCGCTTAACGCCCCCCATCGTAACAGGCAGTCATTTGGCGTGTGCGCCTTTAGAATGAAAAGGGTGCGGCTTATACACCTGAAAATGGGGTAGTATTTCTAATCTATATACCCAAAATTGAATGCGTCACAAGAGAGAAATGTTACAAAATTAGTTGCAAAACTTATGTGCCAACCTAATACTTGCTTGTAAAATCACTGGCTTTCTGCTGCTGCAATATTCCAATTTTAGTACAAGGCAGAAGATGACACTCACTACGTTGATTGTGCTGCTGAAGGTCCCGATTTTGCACTCATAATCGGCGACAAGGAGTATCCCATCAAGAGAGTCAACTTGATTGCAGAAGTTAAGAAAAATGCCTGCGCTCTAACAGTATTTCAAGTCTCATGGGCTCCAGCAGATTGGATGCTTGGTGATTCTTTCATACGACAGTACTGTAATATACATGACATGAAGAATAAGCGTATCGGATTTGCTCCGTCGTTACAAGACGCTCGTTAGTAAAGCATTTTTGTTGTTATTTGTACGGCTCAACGATGAAAGCAAAGTGAAGACACTGCGTTTCCGACAACATAAACGCTGCTTACGTCTCGTGCTCGCATAATGATGACTTTGAAGCTCACCCGCGGGACAGTACATCATAAATGAATTGTAAACAACTGTCATTTTTGAAGCATCTCCATGTGAGATTGTGAGATCAGCTAATTTTGAGAAAAAAATTTTTTTGCTGAGAAACAAATGCGAATTTGAATAGATTACTGGATTTATTCTGGCTTGCTTATCGTCATAAAGATAATAGTCATTTTGAACTACATTTCCGTGCAAGAATCCTTTCAGTTTCATAGATGGAACCCTGTCAAATCGAGTTTCTACGCGATCACTCCTTTTTTGACAATGTTTTCCCAGAAAACTAAACTTTATGAGCACTTTTTGAGCTAGATTTCTTAGAGCACAGATTTACTTGTCAGGCAAATCATGACTTTGCAAAAAGTTGAATTTGTGACCTAATTTTCCACGCCAGAAGCCGTGTGGACCCGTTTTACGCGCAAATTTTGAAGGACCGCCCATCACCGGCTGGTCCTTGTGCGTGGTGGGTCTACATGGACGTGCGATTTCTTACACGAAATTGTAGCTCGATAGCCTGGCTGCGGCTTCCTTTATGAATTTTGTGACAGACAGACATACACACACCCACAAAAAGACACGCTTTTTAAGTCATGATAGTCAACCCTGCGCGGAGTTTCAATGCCATCTCTACGCGAAAATGAGTAAGGCGTATAGATAGTAAGACCTGTGCGAGCCTCTGCGAAGCAGAGGTGACGCACTAGTATAATAACGAGGTTCGATATTCTAAATCCATTTTCATAGCAGTAATTTGAGCCTGCTGCGTCTCTTCTCTAATTTCAAACACAGTTGCTGAAAGCCCAACCACTAAAAGCAAAAGTGGGATCAAACGAGGTTTGACCGGCCTCTAAATCCAAAGTTTGGAGTTATTTGAATTAAGATTTCTCAGATGGCAAAAACCAAGTAGTGCTTTGTATTGAATGCAAGATGAGTTAGTTGACTCACCTTCGAAACAAAGTCAATCATGTTCACAGATGAGCATTCACTTGCACGGTCCAGTATTTGATAACCATAGCATTCAGTAAAACTTGGTCACAGGGGTTATTTGACATGCTGTCCCCATATTATTCACAATGTTCAAGTACAGTTGAAATGACCGAAAAAATCTCGTCGAACAAATGAATATCGAATAATCGGCTTTTGGCAAATATTCGATCGAACGAATATTATTCGATCTGTGTTTCTTAGATTATTCGAACTCGAATATTCGAATAATGCTACATTTCAAAATTCGAATGAACGAATATTCGAATAAATGGGGTTGGTCAAATATTCGACTATTCAATAATCGATAATTATATATCGTCGATAATCACACCTGTCTGAATATTCGACTATTTGAATAATTCGAATGATCTAGCGGCTCAAACAATGCTAGTTTTTCCTTTGTTGCAGTTCTCCACAAAAAGAAATCAATCGCTGTATGTGATCTAGATTTGTAGCTGATAATTGTATGCGTAGCAAGTGGTAAGGATGACTAGGTTATTATCGCCTGGTCAGGGTTCCACTTAGGAGACAAAAGAATTTCACTCAAACATGAGGATCAAGTGTTCATTGCCTTTGAGATGGCTACTGAGCCTTACTTAGTAACTGTTTCAAGTTCGCATTAAATCTTCCTCATAGATTCTTCCCCACAGAAGTCTCTCCCGAAACTACACAGAACTCCTTCCTAAAGCTACAGATTCAACATGGAATTTTCTTGAATAGGTAGTTGTCTGTAATATATTCGTGATGGTCAGCATTGCGTGAATTCTAAGACTAGCACACTGGGAGAGCATGAGGAAGGCCTACAAGAATAGAATCAGTGAACCTCTGCAGCAGAGGTAACGCATTGTTGTCTACATAATAATTTTGTGCGCTCTGAGTCCAGAAAAAGAAAAGTCATGAAGATATATCTGTATATTAGCTGCTAATCTAGTACTTGTCTGAAATCATTAATCGCTGAGTTTCACAGTTTCTGTTGTATTGAATTTTCACGAAGTTGTTTTAGTTGTAGTTTTAAAGGTTGTACTTTTGTTGTAAGGTATTTTCCATATCTTTTACTCAGGTTCAAAATAATTATTGTTCAACCCACACACCTACTCAAAGTATTCTCTCTTTGCCAAACTTCAATTCTGATTTTCTACGCCTCCTGACTATAAGGGCAGCCGATTTGAGATGTTGACTGGCATACAGACTGCCGCCACAAGTCAAGCGGCTCAGGTCCTCACGACCTCCTTGCTCTGGCCTTGCGCTGTTCAACCTATCTCTCATATACTTTGACATGCGGGCGGTGATTAGGCTGGCAAGGCAAGTGAAGAATCTTGGGTGAAGGAATGAATGTTGCCTATACGTGCTGCTTTAAAAGACTTCTGGTCCTTCACATGCTTATGCGAGCTGTTTGAGGACCGGTCCGCTAAAGGGCGCCTAATGATGGCTTTGCTTCTTCCCCAATCGAGAGCTTGGAAGTGTTTGCGCATGATATCGCATCTCAACTTCTCAAACGCGATTTCCAGAAGACGTTCACCACTCCAAATGAAATATGCATGATACTTGTCATCGCTTTGCATGAGCGGCCGTCGGGATATACTTGCACTCAATGTAGAACAGCTGAAGTTTTTTTTACATCGAATGTTCGAATAAAATGGCCTTTAATATTCGAACAATCAAATAGCTGTCTTTCATGTTGGCTCGAATATTCGAATATTCGAATAATGGTCTTCTAGAACTCCTCGAATGAACGAATATTCGAATAACTCATTTCTCCAAATCGACAAATGAACAAATTATTCGAATACAGGCCTTTTTCATTTATTCGACTATTCGAATAATCGAATAATTGGACTTTCTCGAATATTCGACTACTAGTGCACCAGTAATTGAAGGTGCTACCAGCATGCGCGCGCTTCGGGACCGCACCGAGGTTTCCCGCTATTTGTACATTTTTGAATTAACTATTCTTTATTTATTATCCGAATATTCGAATAGTCGAATATTTCGAATAAATTATTCGAACACGAACATTCAGTTCTAACTATACTTAATAGGGCCCTCATTGGGTAGAGGACTATATGTCGCTGAAGAAGGGCGGTCCCCGCGGTCATTTGCGACAAATACGCACCCTTATACATGCGGGGACATGCGTTCCTGCAGGGAATCCGCGCGAGACATTTCCAAATTCGGCGACATATAGCCCTCCACCCGGCCTCATTCATGCCTAACGATAGGTGGGCGATAATGTTGGGGAGGGAGGGGGGGGGGGGGAGGGATCTCAAAGGCACCGTCCACCCAAATTCTCGACTTCCATGTTTTTGTCGTTCCGAGGCCTTCTCGTATCCCTGATTCCAAATATCAAGTCGAGAATACGCAAAAACCCCAAAAATTCCAGTTCCCAGAACTTACAAGGCGAGTTCTCCGGAACGGTGATTGGTTGGGTGCGCATGTCGATGGGCGGAACGAACGTCATGCCCACATAAAGGGGAGGAGCCAACGTGGCGCCCGTCATCTGAGCCATTTACGGAGCAATTTCCTCGCTACTTTCAGCAGCGCGAGTTGGGCAAATGTACAGTTGGGGGCCCCACTACTATTAGCCATCAAAATCTCATCGACCCCATTTTGGGTGGACGGTGCCTTTGAGACACTCAGCGGGAAGAGGGGGGAGGTCGTATACAGCGGTAGTGTGCCACGCTCTTGCTCGACCCTGGTCCTAATCATGAATAACGTTGAGAATGTAGTGCACTGTAGAGAGTTAGATCTAATAAATCGATGAGGATTCTGAAATGATATTCATTTGCCTCATTTGCCGATGGGTAAATTAATAGCTCTACAAGCAAAACGCTGCATCCTGCATACGCTCAAGTTTAATAAGAAGGTACTCAGTTTCAACCGAAGCATGAGACGAGCAAGAATGGATGTTCCTTTCCATTTTATACTCCGGTTAAGATATGGAAATCTGAACAGTTCAGAGTCAGCTGTAACGAATGAGCTATTGAGCGGTACTGGGTTCGCAAGGTTAGCACTGCAGAAATACAAAAAAACTTGAACACTTCTTATTGTATCTCCGCAATAACCTAGACAATGACATCTTGAATATAATTCGAACAGTGCTAACATTTCCACATACGAAACTATACACGACTGAAAAATCGGAAATTAAAACATCATACAGCCCAATTACACAAAAAACTAGTATTTTAATGAGAATATGATAGGGCAAACTAACACTTCTTACTCTTTACAAAACGACTTGTAAAACGCTGTAATAGACACTTCGAGTAAGTAGTGCTGGAAATGTATCAATAGTATATAACAATAAGATGCAATCTAGCAAGCAATCAAACAAACAGAACCAATATCCTCACACGCGTATATCTTTACCAAATATCGTAAGAACAGGTCATATTATCAGCGCATAAATAATTACAAATTTGGACATGATTATGACAGTACTTCTTCACGATACTGGCTTTGTAGACAAGTGAGACCAATTATGATGGTAAAGATAGCTGACCGACAACCACCCAAAAAGGATGAAGAAGAGATGGATAGAAGATGCATACACCTACCTGCTCACGATGTAGATGCCCAAGCGGTTTTTTGATATTCCGGCGTTGTATTCTCATAATCCTTTTCGATACTGTAGTACTTCTGATAGTTCCTCTCCAAAAAGCTGATTAAGTGCTGTGTGCACTTGATTATATCCTGAAAAAAGAATGATCGTAGGCTCTCGTTTGATCTCGATTCAGCGAAACAGTATCACAGGACATGTCTGTGAAAACACTATTGTATCACCTGTCTAACTTCAACTTCATGGTTGGAACAGATATTATGTGTGATGTGTACTGGATAAAATTAGTAAGTAACCGCTATCATTCACAGCATTAGACATTACTGCAGTCGCGTAATCCGAAACATCTGACTGCTCCTCCGTCTTTCAATATATGCAACAACACCGATAAACCGCGTTAAGCGAATGAGGATATATTTTGTGCCAGTTCATCATTGCAAAACATATGCGAACGTGCTTGAAAACTTGTCTGAAATTTTCCAATACTGCAAAGTATAGGCATGCATGTCTACCAACAAGGAGACGGAAGTGGAGGGTTTCCGCATCACATCTAATCTATCTATCTATCTAATTCTATCTAATATATAATATATATCTAAGGTAGGTGCCAGAGTAAGCGAATATTTTGTTCAGGTTGGGGTCCCGGGCAGAATTGACGTCACTTGGATTGAAGCCAGCATGGTGAGTGACGTCCATTCTGCGCGGGACCTCAACTTGAACAAAATATTCGCTTACTCTGGCACCTACCTAATATATAATCGTAAGCGCAATTCAAAAATGTGCACATAGCGGGAAACCACGTGGCGGTCCCATAGCGCGCGCATGCTACTAGCACCTTCAATTGCTGGTTCACTAGTCTTCAAAAAAATAACGAACTTGATGCTTCGAATATAACTGACGAATCAAAAATGCATCGCGAATAAACTGGACGTGGATTGCGAATGAATCTTATAAGGAAGTGCCTATGATGCCAAACAACAAGCAAGACTTGAGAAGATAGCAAGCAAGCATGATCTGCATGATGAACATGCCTGTTTCAAACGAGGAGATGAACAGATAAACTGGAAAAAGCTTGCTTTTTGCCCTGACTTATCAAATTTCGTTAAAAATTCCTTATTGATCAAAGTTTCAAAGAAATAGAGGCAGGAAAAAGTAAAAGATAGACACTGACAGAGCGAACCACAAACCCACTGCACAAGCTCTAGAAAGAAGAGTTTTCTCTTGCACTTTCAACCAAATCACAAAAATCGCATGTGATTATCACGATCAAGCGTGAGCTGCCATCAATCGCAAAAAACTTCTCAACATAGTTTTTTCAAATCAGTCAAGAGGATAACAGCAAGCCAGCAGCAAAGACCATGTATACTACGCAAGGCAGTTTAGGACTGAATGGAGAAAAAATAAGCATCTCCCTCTGGTTGCAGTTCTATTTTTATAGTGTTGACATGCGGTAAAACCACGAATAAATCATATAGTCCAAAAGCGTACACTAGGACAACCAGCTGGTAGCTTAGAATGTCTCACTTTTTGCCCAAATAAAATGACAGTCTCTCTCCCCAGTCCTCTATAAGTATCATGGAAAAAACGACTGCGCCCACAGGTACAATTAACCCTCTTTTCTTTGTAAACTTCAAAAAAAAAACGCTGGGGTAAAGACAAAACATGTTTATGCTATCAAAACACAAACAAAATCTGTAGCAACCCTTCGTGAACACACGCTTTTTCCCAACTCCATGAGGGTGTCGGGCGTATTCCCAGATTACTTCCGAGCAAATGAAAAGTTATGATGTGACTGTTTATATTTGCAAGAAAATGTAGTTGTTTGAATACTAAACTGATAGACCTTCGAAAGAGTGACTCGCGTAATACTATAATGCTATAGCACAAAACCCACGGTCTTTTTCGCTAGCTTTGATGTTATGCGATGATGTTTTTACCTAGTAAATTAAGTTTGGATGTACTGAAGCCAATTAATAATTTTCAAAAATCCCTTATTCCCAAAATTAGGCATGGGGCAACGATTGACCTCGGTTAGCACTTGTCCTTCTCACATTCAGCCTTTCAGCGCTTCTGGAAAGTACAACTCACTGCTCTCTTCTTTCGCTCGCGAGATGTAGTGACAATGAAACTGATTCTTCATGACAAAGTAAAAACGGAAAAAAATTTTGCATGCACCTAACAAAAAGAAACCAAGAAAAACGACTAACTCTCACAGATAGCGTCTTCGCTTTCCCTGGTAAATTCTTACCGACTACGGGAGAACGTGACTGAAAGTGGCAGAAGAGAACACATTCAAACAAACACAAACTTCACCTCAAAGCATACATAAGCAACATTTGTAAATTCATTTAGTAATCAATGAAAAAATATAGTAGCGCCTACCCGGAAAACGTTATCGTTCCAAGGGACATCACGCAAAAGGCTGGCTAGTCGAACTATCAACCGAAGCAGATGAGGAAGCCCGTAAAGCTTTGACGGGACCAAAGCGCTGCTGTTCTCTTCTGAAAGGGATATTATAGAGTGCAGAGAGGAATGCAGAACCCTTGCAACAAAGCGCACCTTGTGTTGCGTTAGATTTTCTTTTCCTTGACACAGCGTCACTGGAGCCAACTGCCTTTTCAAGTTCAGCTGCATATTGGGGTCGTTCAAACTTATACAGGAGTTGAAAACTGAAAACATTAATGCGCCTATATTTCGAAGAACTGCTAAAGAACAAGCACAATGTATCTCAGTGAAAGCAATGCTAAAGCAAAACTGAAGAGAACGATAAGGTAAACAATCCTCACCCCAAAACTCCATTGAAAAAGTCACGCAACCCCACAGCACTACTTCCTAACCCAGCAGGTGAATCCGCAATGGAACTATCCTCGCCTTCCTTTGGTGAGAAGCCAATCTCGGCGCAATACTGAAAAGCATCTTGAATTCAGCGCCAAATACCAAATCAGCTGAGAACACAGTTTCGATATGCCAAGCAGCACGAAGGACACTACCTACTGTTTGACATAAGCACAACTAAGACTGGGGAGATTCAACTTAGAAGGCAAAATCAGTACTTATATCTTGAATATACTATCGCGGACTTGTAAGATCATTCTAAGACAAGCTGTGGGAAAGTCAAAGCAAAAACTTCTAATTCCATTCCGATGATAGACGTCGGTGTGATCTGTCTATTGTAAAAAAAATACGAGATAAAGAAATAATAAACAAAACCGTAAAAGCTTCGCCATGACTTACATCATCTATGATCGAATCAACGGTATGACGTGCAGGCAAACGGGAGACCATGCGCTGACGGGTCATAATATCGCTATCATCGACGAGTATTTGGAGAAGGCACGCAGGCATGTCGTTCAATTTCTTAAACAAAAAGGAGACGCCCTTGGTAGTAGGAAATTTGCCTTACATCTAATTCCTGTAGCAGAGCTGGGTCACGCTCACGTATAGGCATTGCATTTTCAGCTTCGTTTGTTGTAGTTGTCGATGTAGCTGCAGGACTATCTGATCCCGCTTCAGCTCGCTTTTTGGCAATTTTCGCTGAAAAAACTATTTTCAGACTCAAAAAGTGACCACAATCAAGGTAATCTATACAGTCTTGTCAAGAGTGATGTTTTATCAAGACAGACTGATGCAGCAGTAGCAAACACATCGTGTGGAGTAAAAATAAAACCGAGGTTTTGTGAAAATGCAAGGTTTTTAGCACCGCATTACAAAAATAAAACATAAGAGCTTCTAAGTTAAGCTGCGCAATTTCCACTATTTCGCGAATTTTAGATCGCAAAGCACAACACACTCTACCAAAAAGTACTTTACAAGCCTTCTGGGTCTACGGGCAGAACTAAAGCAGCATTCCGGAGATTGTTGATTTTTTAGACCAAAAAGAGTCTGACTTTTAGCGGATTATTTTTCTGGTTACCATCGTCCTAAAAAACTTTGCTCCGCTTCAGTCTCGCTGCACAGACTGATGATTAGGCACTGCTGCGCATATCTGATACAAAGATACTAGTCCTTTGTGTTTTGAGATTCAGATAAATAACGGAATAGTATTTGATCCTAACCGTGTACACTACGGCACTTTTTTGGAAGTCAAAAAGGGGATGTACACCTCGAATTAGCTGCATGGAAGCCTATAGTTCACAAGCGAGACTCACAAGACAGATGAGCACTGCATCGAAGAGGACAAAGACGGGAACGAAAAGCTACTGCGAAAATGACAAAACTGAAAAGAAAATTCAGATACCTCGCAATGGAGTTGTCACAGAGGCCGAGCGAGCAACACTGTTTGGGGTGGAAGCACGACTTCCAGCGTCACTTTTGCGGCCCTAGAACAACGGGTTTTTGTTGTGCTTGAGTCATAATCTCAAAAATCACTTCAAAATTACGAAGAATTATAATTAATTAGTGAGCAAATCGACTTACTTCATCTTCGTTTGCGTCTTTTGTCTTCCTTTTCTTACTTTTTGATGCGGAAGCTTCCTGTATTTCCTTCTGAAAACAAAACTTGTGGCAAGCTATTTGTGGATACAAGGTATGATAATCACAACTACATGACAAATCATAGCGCTGGTCTTCAGATTGGTGAGTTTCATAGAGCTAAGGATACCCCTGGCTCAATGTCATCATAGTGAAAGATGTAGTCACTCAAGCTAAGCAGAAACTGCGTTATCAGCCGATTACTCACGATTAAATAGGACAGGTAACGCTGTAAAGGTAATTTGACAACGGTAAAAGATTTTCATGGAGGTAGAATGTGCAATGCTGAATTACATGACGAAAATTGGAGTGTTTGTAGGAGAAGTTACAAGTTAACTTTGCAACACCGGTTTTTCAGTGCAGTTCTAAATTACATCTGCTTCTGCGATAGCACAATAGTCAGATTCTATGATGTTTCGCAGAACGTAAAGCGGTGAAGTGAACCCCCTGTTTTGTACTCTTGAAAACGCAAGACGACACTTGGCTACTCTTTTTGGCAATGCTTTTGTATGCTTTGCACAGCTTTCCCCACAATGGCAGATTTTGAATGAGAGCGAAACCAAGCATTTAGAACTATCTTGACTAAAACAGAATTTTACATCAGCTTCAATGGACACGTGTACAATATTGCCTACAAAAGATGTTGGAATGATGGGGCTCAACTCGACAAGCTCACACCAATAGCATCTTGCTCTGAATTTTTGCGTGAAAGGTGAGTCGATAGTTGAGCCTACTATAAGAAAGATCAAACTAAGCTAAATCAAAGATGAAAAAGAAACAGCGCCCAATATGCAACTAGCAAAGCTCCTATTTACGCTATGTCCACTAGATCGAGGAACTTCGAGTAATTTCCACGCTAAAACCTAGGTGCTTAATCAGTGACTGATATCCCAATCCCCTCACATGTTAGAAGTAACCAGTTCTCTTTACTGTCTGTACAAATGAACAAAGATGTGTTATGCCATACTTAGAACGCAAAACTGTGAGCCCCAACTAGGTTATCAAACATTATGGCGACTTGTAAGCTGCTCGACATTTCATAAGTGCACAAGAGATGCACATGAAAATAAAATCACAAGCAGGTTTTGATTCACCTTGCATCTCGCCACATTTTCCTCGGTAAACGGAAGAAACATCTCCGCGGTTTCACTTGCTGTTATCCTTTCATCGTATCTTTTGTGCCAACCCTGTAAAAACCATGAGTTGGAACCATAACATATTCAGTATCTGGATTTAACCTCATTCTGTAGGAAGAAAGTTTTCAAAGACTACTGTTGCATTAAATATACCTGATAGTGAACGATGTACACTGTTTCTCCATCTTCTTCAGCAATCTCTGTGATTTTCGCTTCATAGTAATACTGACCATGTTTACAGAGCACTTTCTCATTTACATCATACTTCTTCATCTCTTTCTTCGGCCCCATCTGAAATTAAAGTATGCTAAGAACGTTGAGACACAATAACGAGACACAGTGACGTCTGGCAAAGAGACAATCTGAAACTTTGGCAAAGAGAAATGAAAATATGCGAGTATGAAAGTGCACTGAGTTTCAACGAAATGAACGAGTAAGGTTATAACGCGCTCAAACGCAAGGACGCTCAGCTGATCGCTGAAAACTCGGACCAGACGGAGACAACGCGTCGGCTGCACAACTGCGCCATCCAGTTATTGCAGCGGAAGGGACCGGCCATACTATTCCTGTGATTCCTGCAATTCGTGCGGTTCCTGTGATTCCTGCTGTCCCGAAACGATGTATACAAATGCTGAAGTTTGCAAAGTGCTACGTAGTGCGGCACAGAATCCGAAGAATCACAGGAGTTGCACGAATTACAGGATTTGCAGGAATCACCTCCTGGGATAGTATGGCCGGTCTCGAAGAGATCATCAAAATGCCGGCTGTAGGTGGGAATTTTGTGAGAGTATGAATTGAAAGTTCTAAATAGTTAAATGTTCTAAATACCAAATAATTTGTTGCATCTGACTCTCAGAAGCAATCGCTTTTTAACACGTCGACGACCTTATGCATACGCACGTATGCACGCCCTGACTCCTGTTTAGCATTTTCTTGCATCCGCGCATATGCACGCTAGTTTTTTAGGTGTAAACGAAAAGTTTTAAGGTATGCAGTGATACTACCGGTGGCCTGTTTGTCTTACAGAACACAGTGCATCGCGGCAGCTCTTCAGAAGTGTTGACCGCGAAATTGGGTAGTATGTCCGTTTTTGATGTGGTAAATACATGTCAATTACGTTTTTCCGATAAGGTGGAAACTCTGTTTAGCTTTTTGAAAGCAAACAAGGATGAATCAAGCAAAAAAACCTGTTATTACAACGCTTTTCTAGAAAAGGGATTGCGCAGATATAGCCATTGCATGGTTTACTGGAGGGAAAATCGAGGCAAAAACCTTGATTTGTGTAAGCCCTAGTAAGGCTCTGTGATATATATGTTTCTCTTAACAAAGTTTGCATCTTTTATAGATAAGCGTCAAAAAGACTCCCACATAATGTTTTCGTGCATACGCGCGTATGCACGGGCCAAATGCGCGAAGGACGTTGGTGAGAGTTCCGTCCAGGATGGCGCGGTCGTCAACGTGTTAAATTGGACTCCTGACAGATTTTGGTAGTGTTGGGATAGACCCCGCACTGCTCGCAGCCCCAGTCCCACCCTTCAATTCATTCAAGTTTTATGAACGCGCTTCAAAAGCCCAACGGATACGTCCACATCCGTTGAGTGTGCGCAAATGATGATTAAAGCTGTACTCACGGTTTAGCGCAAAACTGTGACCGTATTCATCGAGAAATCCAGAGGGTAGGCCTAATCACTAGCTTCTTGAACGGTATTTACTAGTGTGTTCGCGAACCCAGCAGTGCTTTTGTGAATATCTGTGTCCAACCCAATGGCAATTGATTCGCTTACCCACTAAATAGCGGGACCGGGTTCGTTGATAAATACAGCCACTTGAGAGTGGGATTGGGGTACATACCGTACGGTGCACTTGCGAAGTCTATTACTTAACACCACCGAACCAACTTTATCGCAATTCTGTGATGCTACACACAGTTCTTATATGGTTCCTTCACATGGTGTTCCAGACATTCGACGTTTGATCCTTAGTGACTCTCTTCTATGAAAAGCTTTCGCGGTTCTTCCATGATTCAAATGCGTAGCTGGGTCCATCTTACAAGGGAAGGACCCTCGGTCGAGGTGGGTTTCCACACGTGATGCATATCATTGTGTTGGTCTTGGGGCATCAATAACGAATCTGTGTTCCTTGGCTGCTCAATGATCTTCTGGGAAAAGTTACGAGCTATGTTTTCCCCAGCATGAGACGGATCGCTTAAGTTAGCGGCGCCGAGAAATGTCAGTTGTGGAAGGATGGCCGGGTCGAAAACTGTTGAGATTATGGAGGATGTGGTAAAAAGTTTGGAATACTTATGTTTCAAACACTCTTCCACTTTGTAGATTGTATTATTTGATATGTATCCTTAAAGGCCTAAGGTAGAAACTCCCGGCACCCGTTGGGTAATTTGCAGCACAATGATATGCATCACGCGTGGGAACCCCACTTCAGCCGAGGATCCTTCCCATGTTAAATTAACCTTATGAAGCGTTTTTCCGACTACGCTTCATTACTGTAGGATTACGGTAGCAGTATCATTGTGAACAAGCCTTCATTTCAGAAAATTTTCCAAAATTTTGGGAAGTTGTGTGGGGAAGTTTTTGCGCTTTCTCAATTCGCTCTTAACTTACACTTTTGAGATTTCTCAAATGTTGTACTTGCTGTTTAAGGAACTTTGAGAAAACAGTTGTTATGACACTGCTTGGTATAATTCATGAAAGAAGCATTATGTCAAACTGCGGACTTCATTCTCAGAGTTAGAACTCTGGTTAGGTTCTTCAAGAGCTTTTAGATTGCTTGGCTCACTTTTTGAGGCAAAAATAGACTCTCTATAGCTAAAACCCTCTTCAAAGTTATTACCGTATACGGTGATGAGGCGCATTCGCCCGTTCACTTCATGCTGTAATCACGTTGAAGCCAGCTTTGCATTATAGATTCAAAGGAGCGCAAAAGCTTTTCAAATAAAAGAGTTTTAAAGATCATACATTTGATGCATTGTTTGGACCCCCGTACAATCCTCGTCTGTCTAAAAATTATTCAATAATTAAATACGGAGCTAGTAAGCGGTTGCAAAAAGACGCAAACATAATCATCAATTCAAAGCTTTGTAGACGAACAAACCAATAATCAATGTTTCTGACATGATTCTAAAAATTTGATTAATAGTAGACCTCCCAATTATGAAAATCGCTACTTCAAAACAACAGCTTTTAGCTTATTCCAGAGAATATTCAGGTTCTCCGATTCTGTAGGAAAGAATTGACCATATATTATCTCATTCCAGTATTAGATATTAATGTTGAGGCTGTATGATCATGAAAAGGGTTTACTTGCGATTTTATGAGATTGTCGAGGTGAGAAAGAAAAGAGAATAAATGACTACTTTTCTCTCGGATCGTTAAAATTGCGCTGTATGTATCAAGGCACCTGAAACATGGGCTTTGCGTAGCTTGGATTTGTGCATCTGTGACACCATAAGCGATAATCTAGTGATCAAAAAGTTTGAAAAAATTTGAAAGACTTCCCCTCCCCCCTCCCAATGACTTTTCCTTTAGATTGATTCTAGAGCTTCGCAAATGATTTTTGATTCTGTGTCACTAATCCCCCAAGTTTCCGAGTTCTAAATTCCTTATCAAGAAAAAGATTAGTTGGGCCAAGGCTCAGCATTGCCAGGAAACAGAATAATCCTTGTATTGATAAAGGAATGGTCTGATAAGTCATGTAATAACTTGCATTGTTCTAGCATGTGAATAACGTTTGATTTGAAATAATTGAAATTTTTTTTAGATTTTTGCACTTTGAATCATGTCTAGAAATCAGTAGTCTTAATTATTGCTACTTTCAGATGATCAAGTATTCCCTTTTGCTTGCCTTATTTGGAATAGTTGCAGCCAATAGTGAGTTTAATGAGCTTCTATTTATGTTTTATAAGAATCTTATATATAAAGCTGAATGTCTGTTTGTCTGTATGTCTGTCTGTCTGTCTGTCTGTCTGTGTGTACGTATGTTCCGAATAGAAAATTCCATTTCTGAACCGATCCGGACCAAACTTGGCACACATACACTACGGGCCCCGGCGGGTGTCATAGGCTACTTTTCGTCATCGATCGATATCGATTTTATCGATTTTTATCGATTTTTTTGCTGAGTTCACCTACGGGGCTGGGAGTTGGCACAGGGGGGTAATCGAGCATGGGGATTCCGAATACAATATTGGTTTTCAGGATTATCGATTACTTTTATCGATTTTATCGATTTTTTTGCAAAGTTTGAGCTACGGGGCTGGGAGTTGGCACAGGGGGGTAATCGAGCATGGGGATTCCGAATACAATATTGGTTTTCAGGATTATCGATTACTTTTATCGATTTTATCGATTTTTTTGCAAAGTTTGAGCTACGGGGCTGGGAGTTCGCGCAGGGGGGTAATCGAGCATGGGGATTCCGAATACAATATTGGTTTTCGGGATTATCGATTACTTTTATCGATTTTATCGATTTTTTGCAAAGTTTGAGCTAGGGGGCTGGGAGTTGGCACAGGGGGGTAATCGAGCATGCTGATCATCCCCAAGGGGGTGATCAGCATGCTCGATTACACCCCTGTGCCAAATTCCAGCCCCCTAGCTCAAATTTTGCAAAATCGATAAAATCGATAGAAGTAATGGATAATTCCAAAAACTAATATTGTATTCGTAATCTGCATGCTCGATTACCCCTCTGTGCAAACTCCCAGCCCCGCAGGTCAAACTTTACGAAAAAATCGATAAAATCGATAAAAGTAATGGACGATCCTGAAAACTAATATTGTGTTCGTAATCGGCATGCTCGATTACCCCCCTGTGCAAAATCCCAGCATCGCATGTCAAAATTTACAAAAAATCGATAAAATTAATAAAAGTAACCGATAATTCTGAAAACTAATATTGTATTCGGAATCCCCATGCTCACTTCCCCCCTGTGCCAACTCCTAGCCCTGTAGGTGAACTCTGCGAAAAAATCGATAAAAATCGGTAAAATCGACATCGATCGATAACGAAAAGTGGACTGTGACACGCGCCGGGGCCCGAAGTGTATGTGTGCCAAGTTTGGTCCGGATACGGCGGAGCCGGGTAAGCCAGCTAGTAGGCTAATAATTTGACGATCAATGTGGTTCTCATGCGGTGACGACAACGTTTGCGCGGAAAGGCGAAATTGGTGTATAGCGAAATTGGTTGCATCTGCGCGTAAAAAATGGCCATAGTCCTCACACTGTCTCTGTCCACGCGCAAATGCTGTTGGTAATAAAAGAACAGCATATTAACAGGCAAATCTGCTGAGCTAAAATTACCTTTGCTTTAGTTTGCACAGATGGTACAGGCACCTGGAGCTTTGCTATAGCTGAAGGAGTGACCGACTTCGCATATGGAGGAGCTAAGCTGAACAACAGCAATAACTGTTTTGAAGGCTGTTTGGCTACAGGAACAGCAGTGCAGAATTTCAAGGTAAGCCGTTCTTACTCTGAAAAATGGAGTTTCTTTAATAGAAAATTTCATGTACTTAGGTGGCAATGAGTGGAATCGGTCCGAACACGACAGTGCAGGAGCGCAAACTGGGATCGAAAGCCGAACGATTTGCTAAGATGATGAAAATCAGAGGTAATGAGGAAAGCAAAAAAGCGGACCTTTTACTTCCTCTTTTTTGAACGGTTTTTCACACAAAAGTTTATTATTCTGAATATTAAATCAACCTAATTATTTTTGCTATATACGCGAGGTATAATAGTCGAAGTTATAAAAGTAGTGATTTCATCGTCATCAAAATGGCAATCTTTCTATCTTTTTCTGAAAATTTCCCAAATTAATTTTGCGAAAAATATGCTAACAATGCTAATTTTTCCAAAGGACAAAGAACGTTCAGAAGTTTTCCCAATAATTAGACCTCGAATTTAGACGATGATGACGATCCAAACGCGGACAGCTGCATAGACCCTGTTCTTCGTGATGATATAAAGAATGCTCTGAACAAAGTCACTGATCATTCATGCAAAGTCAGTCCTTTACCTCGAAAAACTATTACTTTGCATGAAAAGATATTTTCAGGGAATTGTGAAAGCCCTACTTTTCAATCTCAATCGGCCTGGATGGGCTGTAAACTGCGTGGACTTTGATGCTGTCAGTATCGATGGAATCGTACAGGCAATTTTATACAAAATATGTATACTTCAGTTTGATTTTGCTATTTCCAGGATATGAATTTTTGCGCATACATCGGCGTCGTCGCACAAGACGTGTTCGACATTCGTCTTGGAAAAATTGATATCTCATAGATTAGCATGAACAATAAATTTTGCAAATACAATGTTCCTAAACAGGTTCAAGTTTTGAATTTGCTAAATACACTAATGTTTTGAACGGTAGCCACGTTGTTTAGAGCTACTCTGTCCGTTACTTGCATAACCTATTCTTGAGTAAAGAATCAGAGTAATACTCTTTGATCCAACAACCATTGTGTAGAATTCGTTTTCCTAGACATACAGCGTCAACGCGGACCAACGGTTTTGATAACGGTGCATATTTTTTCTAAGGAATTTTCCAATAGTATGCGTAGTCGTAATCTTACGCTAGACAATTCACCGAAACTTCCACAGGGGAAGCAAAATTTGCAGCGGTTCCGCGGGTTTTGTTTACTACTGCAAAGGTAGAAACGAACGAAAATAAGAACTTCCGCAGGTTTTTCACGTCAGACTGGTTGATAACGGGAACTTCCACAGGAATTTTTGCAAAGCGCTGTGGAACTTCCGAAGAATGACAGCGGTCCCGCAGCACTTTGACATGCCAGTATTTCCGCAGGATTTTGAATGTATTGTCCATGATGTTGCCTCGTCAACAACTAGAGTGCATTACCGAACATGGCATCCGTAGTGCAGAGGATAGTAGGTGACTCTCACGGCCAATAGAGTAAGGTTCAAATCTCGTTTAGGCGTTCTCTTTGCTGTTGTGGTTCGCATTCTTCGGAACTTCCGCAGCACGTCATTTGGAACTTCCACAGCATGTTTACGGAACTTCTGCATGTAACGCGGCAGAGCTTTCCTAAACGTTCTGCGGAAGTTCCGATCAGATGTCTGAGTATGTACTTCTCGCCCTCAGTTGTCCCCTGCTCATGAATCCTCTAGGAAATGAAAGTGCCAAAAAAACTCATTTCAATCTAGGAAATGACATCGCTAGAACATTCTAATTGATTCTACAAACTTCTTGCCACATTCACTCAAACATTTGTTTCAACTTTTTATGGAACCAACATGAATATCGAAGAACAGCATTCCGTTTGCATATACTCATTGTAATCTTCAAGTGTGCTTCGCTTTTGCAAATCCTATTCTCTTCTCTCCGATGTCGTACACGTTACAATACGTACGAATCCAAGCATCGCCAAGGATCCACGTTGGCTCAAAGCTGCCAGAATCCAAGGCAAAAGCAGCCAGAGCACACTTTATACTTACAAAGTATTCCTTTTACAAATCTATAGCAATTCTTACCGTTCCACTATTCAGTTCAACCAAATACTCTTCAGAAGATACATTGTAGTTGACACTGTTGATAGTAAATATCAAATCTGGTTGGGTTTCTTTTCCTGCGCATGGAAGTGTGTACAGCCCAGTGTCAGGATCGTAGTAGGCTCTAATCTCTTTTGCAATGGCCCTTACTATCACATAGGGTGCGCCAAACCATGTACTAGCAGTGTCTGATATTACCTAAATTATCAATACTTAGGCTGCGACCAGTTATCGTGCCAACGCCGTGTCAATACCGCTCTAGTGCCGTGTCAGCACCGTGCCAGCGCTGTGCAAATGCGGGGTCGATCAATACAGGGCGCATCCATGTATGTTTCGGCGTTGGCACTGCGCCAGCACGCTTCTGGAACGGTACTGACACAGCGCCGGCACATGAGCAACTCTGAACGCCTATGAAAATCAAACATCTTTCTCACTCGCCTGCTCAGTCCTGCTCTGAGAGAATGTTCCCACTGAAAAGCCTGTCATTGGAAACTGCCAGTAGGTCAACGAGGACAGCTTCACATAGTCAACTTCAGCAACGCAATGTTCTGGATCGAAGTCACCGAACGTAATCATACCGCCATTACTACCGCTATTAGAAACTTTCTAGTAAATTGGAAGTATTTATGGATTACCCATTACGCTGCAAATCTACCTTTCTTTCCAACCATATGGTGAATAAAGGCTTGTCCAACTGATCAAGAATATTTTGCATTAGCGGAACAACCTCAAATAGATTTATTTTACACTTGCAGTACAGTTAATGAATATGAACCTTTTCCTCGGCAAGATCTGGCCAACCAAGTCCAAAGAAGCCATCCATTGGCTGAACGCCATAAAAAGGAGCAATCCCTGTAGCGACGCCAAACTCCTGCTCCCGAATGGTCAGACCTTGAAGTAGTACACAGTGATTAGGCATGATTGCGAAACCACGAAAAAGGGTGTGAGAAACGGTGTCGATACGCTTGGATTGTTCTTCTATACTAGTGAACCAGTAAATGAAGGTGCTAGATTGCATCCGCTCGTTTCGGGACCACACCGCGGTTTCCAACTATCTGATGTTTTTTAATTGGCGTTGTGATATTTATATATGAGATTCTGGTTTTGAAAAGGCGCATCTGGATTTCAATGGCGTTTAAATATTTTATAAAAAAGATGGGAGTGCAGAGGATAAACCTAAGATAAACCTGCATAGTAGGTCAGTTCTGCAATACTTTTTTGAAGCCATCTACATTCTTCGCAACTTCAGAATTGGAAAAAAAACCTCCAAGCTGGTTTTTGACCTACTTTCAGAAATAAAAAGTTACCAGTTAAACACTGAGATGAGCTATGCGTATTACAATCAATAAAATAGAAGTATTTTCCCTTTTCTGTGCCTCCGGGTGTCCCACTGCCCTCACCAATCTTTATATGCAAAAACCCTTATAGACGAAATGAGATGCAAGCAAAGATAACAACAAAATTCAATTCCCTAATTTTAAGCGTATAAGGCGCACTTTTTCGAATTTTCAAGCGAGCCGCTCGGTCGCTTCACTGTATTCCAGAAAGAAATCCTTACATCGCACGATTTTCTAAGCAATATACAGCACATTATAGGGTCCTTTGGTTGTAAAGCCCTTTGGCTTGTCTGGGCTGGTCGATTTTTGAAAATTATCCCCCGCGCCTTATACGCGTGTAAATTAGGGTAATTCGCCTTCATCACTCTTGAATATTTTTTTTCCGAAAAAATCCGAAGGAGTTTGATCACTAGATCAAAAGAATCGCAATTTTTAGTTGTCTCTCAACATACATAGGTAAATTCTTCAAAAGTATATTTTTTGAAGTTAGGTAATTCCATTACTTTTAATTAAATATAATAAATATGTAGAATCATCTATAACACACATCTAAATCCAAAAAATTGTCTTCCACAATTTCAGAACCTTACTTTCCAAAATAACTCATGCACATACTTTTAACTCCTAAACAACTTACTTCTCAATGTTGAAAACAAGTTTTACAGGCCTTTGTTCTTTACTGACAAGTTCAAGTTTGTGAGTTCCGGGGAAGGTATGTAAATACTCTTACTCCGTCTGAGGGTAGGAACAAAAGGAGCTTTGGTTATTTACACATTGTGAATTGAATACCTTTTCTTACTGGATAAGTTACTGCAGTTTTGCCAAAAACCGAATCGCTGTTTTCATCTGCTTACTTCTTCACCTTTTTTGAACCTTTCAAATTGTTTTTATGTTCCTAGGATGGCAAACATCGATTGTGAAGTATGTAGCAATACCTGCAAACGATACAACGTCTGTAGCCAAGTAGCCTTCGCAAAACGCCATCACAAATTCGCGTTTTTCTTTCTTGAACGTTTTTGATGCAGAAGTTTTGAATTTGTGTTTGGGAGGTCCGCCATGGCAAGTTCCATTACAAGCAGCGCTTATGCAAGCATCGTCTATCACCCAAAGGGCTGACGAGCCCGTATCGAGCACAAGGCTCATGTTTTGGCCTGAAAATGCATCTTACTAGAAAAATTACTGGCATGCAACCATTATCTCTACCCGGGGTTCCTACTTGCACATCCACTAGATAGAACTCATCATCAAAGTCCAGTATACGTTCTGATTCTCTTTTCCGCATATTCAATATTCGCATTTGCTGGTTTTGTACAAGATACTGCCTGTACTGACCGCTTCTAGAGGAAAGTCGTCTTTACAGGCACAAATGTTGACTTTTCGAAATTTTTTTTATAAACTCACGAAATCATTTTGGCTCGGAGTCCAGATGATCGCATGCGCATCTTGAGGGACTTTGCTCGGAGATACACAACCAAGGCAAGCACCAAGAGTATAAGCCTCATTGTCTAGAAATCTTATTTATAAAGCTGAATGTCTGTTTGTCTGTATGTCTGTACGTATGTTCCGAATAGAAAATTCCATTTCTGAACCGATCCGGGACCAAACTTGGCACACATACACTTCCGGCCCCGGCGGGTGTCATAGGCTACTTTTCGTCATCGATCGATATCGATTTTATCGATTTTTTGCAAAATTTGAGCTACGGGGCTGGGAGTTGGCACAGGGGGGGGGGGGTAATCGAGCATGATTACGAATATAATAATGACAGGGCCGGGCGGAGCCGGGTAAGTCGACTAGTCTTTTATAAAGCTGTCGCTGTGTAGCAAAATTTCACTCATAATGTTGTCAAAAATTGCGCAGTCGCGCAAAATCGAATCAATACTCGATTTTAGGCAAAATTTAGGTGACCGTGAAATGAAATGTGAAATGTAAGCGTCAACGTCAAAATCAACGTAGAAATGTAGCAAAGATAAGGAGAAACATAAAAGTGATGCGAAACTGCGACAATTCTGGGAAATAATTTATCTATTTATATACGTCTACTCAACAGTCCAAATATGCACTCTTTATCAGTATGCAGTAGCTCACAATTCAGTTTGGATAGCTCTTGCAAAGCAGGTGCAATAATGTCGGTTTCGCTTCGAAAAGCAAAATTTTCGCAGGGTGCGTGAGATTTGGTCACTGCGCCTCAGCAAAGGTTCTGAAAAGTCTTGAAAAGTTTTGGTTCAGATTTTCTGGCATTTGAATGGTAGTCAGTTTTTTACTGTATTTTTTTACTGTAGGCGGATTTAAGGGTTAAAAATAGCTGTGGCTTCCTGGATTTGGCCAATTTGCTCAAGTCAAACTCGGGCAAGTACTTCGCAAGGCACTTGCGAGCTTGAGCCGATTGAAAGTGTGTAATCGAGACAGATGAGAGATGTTTCTGGGTTTTGACTCTGAACGTACTACTTTCCTAATGCTCTGTAGCTGAAGTCGATCCTCCCTCTGATTGTAAATACTGTTCATGCCTCCAGCGTCACTTAATTAGTATGTATTCAACCACTATAAATGAAAGACTTGGAGCTATTTGTAGTCTGAATATTGTGTTGCCGATAAATAACGGTTTAATCAACCCATTGATGACGATGTGGACCACGGTGACCCAAAATTTTTGTAAAGTCATATTATTTGTAAGTGTAGTATTTTTTCGCATATCAACATTTATTTCAATTTTTGCGCTCTTGGGGCTTGTAGCGTGCTCCGTCGTTCAAGAAAATGTTTACCTGTTTAGAAAACAACCTTGTAAATAACCACAAACTTTCCCACACCGAAAGTGTTGTGCAAAATCGCGTTGTCCCAACGCGCCGCCACGCAGAATTGGGCGTCATCGTCAATGGGTTAAGTAAATTTGCATGAAGCTCTTTTGGATAAAGTGGAAATGAACGTAGGACTTTCTCTCATGCTTTTGAAAAAGGCATTAGGTCGAGGCGTAAGGTTAAAAGGCTATGAAAGGTCTTTGCTTGTCTTCTATTATGTATTCGATTTTTTGCCGCATACAAGGTGTAGAAAGAAATGCAATGAAGGTTTTATTCAAAGAGTTTAGTTCTTCACTAATCCAGCAAACATCTGGAACTCGAGGTATTGGCCGTTGACGAGCTGAAAATAGGGATAAGTACAGAAAGGGCTGAGAGTAAATTTTAAGCATTGAGTGAAATATTATAGTAATTTGCTTTAGCTGAGGGTAGCAAATAAATTTCCGATACCGCTTTAAGACTTTTCATAAACGAATTATTTTACTACTAACATACCGTTACATAGGTCTTCATGCAGAAGTTAGGATCCTGTTGTGCATTTACAGTAGAGATGATTGAGGGTGGGGGTCCCATCTGGAACATTTCTCATTACCGTTCGGTCAGGAAATATTTTTGCGTATGTTCTTGCCTGGTAAACGAGGTAAGCCCATCCTGGCTTATTGATGTAGTAGTTGAGGGCTTCGGAAATTGTTTCTACATCGGTATAATTTTGAAAGACGGTGTCCGCAGCTGCAGCAACGCTGTCATCAAGGCAGAACGCTAAAATAATAAACTTTTGAAAATCGTTCGATAAAAAGTTTGAGTGTTACAATTGTCGTCGTCCAGTTTCTGTCCCTTAGCGTCTGTTACAGTGTAAACTCTATTTGCTTTCGTCATACGGTAGCTTTTCACTGTGTAACGAGCTAAAAACCATGCTATGTATTTGACGAGAAAATTTGAAAATTTCTAGAGACTTACGAGCACTGCTGTTGCTTGGCTGAAAGTTCATTTCTGCCTTGATAGATTTGCGATCGTTGCAGTGGGTAATACACCAGCTTGGCCTAAGAAATTTGTGAGTATTTATAATGTTGTGAGTCTTGATGAATTTTCTAGAAAAAAATCAATGAACAAACCTGACAAAATCGCTTCCAGATGTGCGAAACGTGGCAATTGGAACAGCATTTTCTAAGGTTTCATCTCCAGTTGCAGGGTAAGTGCATTCTAGAAAATTCTCCAAGTTTTTCCATAAAAAGCGCGTTAAAGATAAGTTTCTATCAACTTTACTCTGATATTGATATAACGACTTACTAACGTCAGCGTAGATCCCTGCAACAAAGGCACAAAGAATAACGAACTTCACCATCTAAAAATTTGACGTATAATGATTTAGTAGACATGGGAAATTATACTATTTCTTAAGAAAAAGCTTTCTCTACTATCAGATAAGGAATGGAATAAGGGACTTCCTATCTCTTGTTTCGTACAGCATGATGTACCATAATCGCCTTAGTCTGGTTGCTATCGGCCATGATTAGTAAGCTTATGATAAAAGTTGTTACTGTAACGGAGCTTTGAGCAGATCGCAGTATCAAAATATCAAAGATTAAAAATTACGGTTTTCACATATTTTATAAATGAAATGTATGCCTATCCAATGTCTACACAGTCCACCATTTTGAGCAGGAGCCCTTCCATCGCCATCTGCCAAAACAGCAAAATATTCTTATTCGAATAAATCAAAATTACCGGCGATTTTTCAAAGATAATTGTTTGCAATGACTTCTTTTATCCTGAGGGCAAATTGAAGAGAACATCTTTTCAACGAAAACACACAAATTGGCCTTATACTTGAGTTATTGTGAACCAGCAGATTACATTTACGACCATGCCTTTTTCTCGATAACTGTCATTGTGGACCATTTGATTTTCACATTATCAAAATTACATCAAAGTGATGGGTGGTCATGTCCGTGGTTGCTTTTTTTGTTGGAAGAATAAAAATGTTTTCGGTGATCGCATAGGATTATTGAAGACGCTTATCTTGTGCTTGAAATTCTTAGAGTCGAAACATGATAGTTGTGGAGGATTCTGTACAAGACCATCAACTTATATTACGAACTTTTTCAAACTACATACGTACATCATTTTACCAAACATCCCTTTCGCAGGGTCGCACTGTCGTGGATGTGGGAACCCTTAATTTAATTTGAGAAACTCAATCATGACAACCAGAAGTGTACCAAACAAAACAAAGTCTGATTGCACCACTACAAGACCCTTTTTTCCATTTCGAAATGATCGTTCTCGCACATAATTTTCCAGGCAAGGAGCAGCACGTTAAAGGACAGTTTGGTGCCAAGATTACTTGGTATGTTTAGGTTGGTCGAGCTTAGAAAAGAAGAATTGCGTCTTATACTCGTGAAATTAGGGTACCCTTCAATAGATAGGTGAAGGCTTCGACTTTTTTTGAAAAAGGATATCGAGCAATAAACTTATGCATGCCACTTTTGAGCTCAGTAACGGCTTGCAGTCATTCAAAACTATTCTTATTTCATTTTTCTTTGTCATGGAGGTAGTCGAGCGATGGTTTAGTCATTATTTACACAAGTTTTTGGTTGGGTTGTTGTCCAGTCCACATGGATTACCTAGCTAGAGTAATGTCGATATGTTTGGCATCCATTTTTTGAATTCATAGGAGTTCCCCAACAAGTGTAGTTCATGGAGAACTTCTGATTACAAGTAAAGCAGGATGACTTCTATTTACACTTCAAATTTTCACATTGTCATAACCATGGCACGCGCCCAAGCAGATAACTATGCCATCTACAGTTGATCATCTGAAGATCAAAGCCTGGGAAATCGCTTTGTGTGGCCTTTTTTGAAAGGAGGTGATATGATTTGATGTTTCCTTTTTCGTAATAACCATGCTTTTAACGCATTTAACGCATCAATGAATGCATTCAATAAATAAATAAAATAAATTCTATAAATACCGCTCATAATGCGTAAAATTATGTCGGTAGATTTTTTTGACGAATTACAGCGGTACTGTAGATCTAGCTACTGTTCTCTTTTAATGACAGTATGTCATGATTCTATATAGAAAATGCCATCAATGAAAAAAATTCTAGAGACTTGAGTAATAGTAGAATTTCCGCAGATCTACATTAAAATTCATTTTGCTTTGTACCACCGCTCAGTTGATGGTTCTTTTTGCACTATCAATGCAATTTTAAAATGTACGAGATTCTTTTTCCTACTTTGTGCAATTGTCGTCTGTTAATTTCTAAATTTACATTTTTGAACTTTTCCAATCGTTTTTTGAAGAGTAGTTTTTATTTGCATCACGATGTAGTGCCGATCTACCAAGTTGATTGTCTTTGATATGATGAATGAATCGTCTGATGCTTTCTTTTACAAAATATAAGCAATTTCATTCTGTACATGAATTCAATGGATTCAATACAATTTCTGAACGCTGAGATCTTTGAGTATCAGTAAACAGTTTGTACATTCAATTAGCAAGCCGAGAAGAATCATTTCTAGAGGAAAGTAATGCACTCCAGACACCTAATCAAGCAATTTCGTTCATGGCTTCGGTGTTGTCAAAGCTGTTCCATTGTGGATGACGAAGGAACGAATTATTGGCGTCATTGCTGGATTTTCTTTCAGTTTCAGCAGAAGGAACGCGTAAGTGACGATGACGGATACAAGCTTGAAATGAGAAACATGAGTGGGAGATAAGTTGAGTAAAAAAGTCGCTTACAGTGAAGAAGGTGGTCCTTTCCAGCGGGAAAGCTCTCCATACAGTCATTCCCCACATGAATTGCGTGGACATTTTCGATACAAAACAGGTTAGCTAAATTTGAATGCCGATAAAGTTCCAAAAATTTAGAAGGTCAAAGGCAGTGTCCAGGCAAACGAGAGCATGTGGAATAATAAAGGCCTTAGCGAAGTGATTGGACAAGGAAGCAGCTCACAGTTCCTTTTGGCAGAAAAGAAATTCAGCGTTGATTTCCAGTCAAGACCGTATTCTATGCAATGGACCAATCAGCGTCCTTGAATACGGAAGCAAGTACGGTATGGGCCGGAGTTTAGCGTTGCATTTCTTAGTCACAAATTGATCTTATTGGCTGCAGTTTGGGTAGTGGCTCAAATGGGGCCTCCCAATCTGTTCCCGTATGAAAAACCCAAATATACCAATTACCCAGACACTGCTGTTAACCACGAACACTTACCTGATAACGATCAAGATCTGCATTTGTAGCTGGAACTATCCGTAGCACAGCATTTGTTATGCCTCGAGTCTGAAACATTTGACTACTCAGTTCTTTTACGTGATTTTTTGAGGGCAAAAAATGCTGGAAGATCTCACAGTTTCATTTGTGCTCATGCCTGTATAACAGATCAGACAAATATGCATGAGTGCTACAACCACTTGCAATCCAGCCCAACAAATCGTAAAATGGACACTCCTCGTTAGCCTACGTCTGATCTCTGGTACAGTAATCTGCTCAGGCGTGATAGGCTGCAGGAGACTGAAAAATTTTATGTGAGTTTGAGAATTTCAAGAAATTTGGCAAAACACTTTTGAATTGGAGCTTTCTGTTGATGTTATTGAAAAGAAAAAATAAGAATAAATAAAAGATTGGAAAAGTGTACAGGAGCTCGCTAGCATGCATCTGAACTCCTAACTAAGGTCGATATGATCACATGAACTTTTCAAACACTTATCTTCTACTTGCTTATGAACTACACAGAATACTGCACCAAAAAACCTTAAAAACATAGAAAAACACATGTGATTGAGGTAAATTACGCTGTCCCTCGCTATAAGGGTAAGTAGAATGACATCTCGTCTTATCTACAGTTGTATCGGTGGAAACCGGCCAAAGTTGCGGGATTCGCGGGATTTGCGGGACTTGCAGGATTTGCGGGATTTTAGTTATAACTTCTTTCAAAACAATTTATTTAAAATCTGCGAGAAGATTTGGCTTCAGCTTGATGAGCGTATTACATCTGGACGTCATGAATTTGAGATTTATTCAGCGATGAGACAAAATCCACTTCTTAGGCTTAAGGCTTCAAGATTTTAAGCTAAAGAGACACGGTATATATTCAGCATGTGACAAACCCACTGTTTTCTTTTCGTTGAAAAAAAATGGAAGGCGCACGAAATACTTATATCATCATATGAGATATACAAAACTACTGCTGATTTCATATACAAAATCTTCAGTTTAAAATATAATGCAGATCTGCATTCTACTGCATGCGGGTTCTTTTGAGTCGAAGAAAATAATTGCTATTTCTACTGAGTACTGAGTATATTTTTGTGTGTTTGTCATTATCTGATAGCAATGAAGGTACTTGTAAGACTGATCTCGACAGTTTCTTGATTTCTTTTATTGGAACAAAACCCTATAAGCTAGCAAAAAAGAAGCATGTATTACCTTGAATGTGGCTGCGTGATGAAGTATATTGTCAAGCACAGTACTAGTATAGACCAGGCCAAAGAGAAAAGAATAAATGGATTAAACAATCTACCCACTTCTTCCTGACAATAAATAAGCTTTGATAAAAAAACTTTAACAGATCCAGACCCACCTGAACATTTGTAATCCTGAGAAATTGGTCATAGTAGAACTTTAGACTAAAGCGACGTTTTCTATGCTCCATGTTCATCGACTTTATTAATGTCCTAAAATAATGCTTGCAGAAAATCAAGAACCATTTTTGTAACCAGCAGAAAACTAATTACCTGATGTAGAACCGTACGATTCGGTTGTACAGGTCGTAGTACAGAAGAGGTATCAGATTCCATAAAGTGAGTACAGGAACAATGATGAAGGAAGTGTCTTGAATCACACTCGTTCCGAACCTCAAGATAAGAATTAGAAGTTGCGCTCAATGTGTTAAATTACAAACTTTTACAGTCTCAGTCTCTTTTTCTAAGTGTTTATTTGAATTTTGCTAAGTTTGGTATTTCAAATCGACTTTTTTCAGCGCCTAAGGTACAAGACCATTTTTTAGAAACAGTTCTCGATGACATGAATACTGGTTTTTTTTGAATGTGAAAACTATCTGAGAGACTTTGACTTTTTGGACTTGAATCTTCCGTAACAAAGAAAAGTTTCTACCTATTGTTTATGTATTGACATGAATAAGAAATAGAGTTTGGAAACTTTCCGACCAACTCTGTGTACTTTTTTTTGCCTCGAACCTTCGAATTTTTTTATATGCTGCAGTCCTCAGGCTGCAGCTCGTATATTAATTCGTGGCCGAAAAATTCAAGTTTATAAATGCCCAAACAATTTTTCATGGTACTCAAGACACCATTTGGACATTTGAAGATACGATACTGAGCGAGGGTTTAGTGTTAAATCTTTAATGCATGATATGAGCTGCACCATGGCTCAACTAAGGACTCCTAGTCGTATTTTGTATACAATATCAAGCCCACTGTAGATAGCTGCGAATGCATAAAACAACAAAAAAACTCACTTTTGATCCGTATAAATAAATTCAAAGACTCTGAATGTGAACGGTAGGGCAGTAAATAAGGCGATGACAGCGAAGAATACGGCGGAATAGCAGCGGACTGGTGGAGTAAGGGAGAATGCGTTCCGAAAGCAAGCATCGATACCATCGAGGGTCTAAAATCTCAAGTAAATGCAATAGGGATTGGACGGAACTTTGATTTTCAAACTCAAATTCTGCTGGTAAACAGTCAGTGGAGAAGTATCCAGCTTTTAGAATGCAAGGGAGAACTTGTAAATCCATCTCATTTTCAAAATTTCACAAAACGTACACAAAAATTTCCAATTGCTGCAAATCTATTGAATAAATACGTAATCGTAGTCATCATCATCATTACTTGCTATCGGTCTCTGGATTTTAGTGGTATATTAGTGATAAAAGCAGATTTTTTCTACAATGTTTCTCGACCTAGCTGTTGTATTTCTTATCCTTTTTTATATAAGAAGAAATGACTGCAAAGCATTGTGGTTCATGCATTTATTTTTATTTATATTAACTATCAGCTTGGCTAAAAAATTACTTCGTTTTTTTATGAATCCTTATAAAAATAATTCATGCTGTCTTTTACCCATGATTCTTTGAGAGAGGGTAGCTCAAAGCTTCTACTATCATATAACTTTCATTTGGAATTTCTTCTTTCAGTTAAAGACAGTTTTGGTCCAATATAATCAATTCTCTAGAAGCTCAATTCCTTGAATTTCTAAGCTTCGTTCACTGTTATGGACGTAGGAATGAGTAGTTTGGTATTTAGCTACACACAAGTTTTCTCCGTTTAGTAAATAACAATGAAAGTTGTGATCCGGATCCGCTAATCAAAAAATGAAATTTCCTTACGTTTGCGCATGAGAAAACTAGAGTTTCTCATTCTTTATGCGTTTCTTTCATGAGTAAATAAATTTTATTCAAACGAATTTTATATTCCAATTCTCACCGAAGTGCTCTTTCCAGAGATACAAAAACAGGGGAGCCCGTCTTCAGCATTTGTAGAAGCCGCAAAAACGACCGAAATTATTTTTCACCCACCCAATTGAACTCTCATCTCATGAAAACATAGTGGTAGCATCGTAAAGATCTTTTTGGAGCTTGGTAGGCTTAGCGCTCTCCACTCTCGAAACTTCAAGACTATTGATACCGCAGTTCAGGGCCTTATATTCATTCTTCATATATTTTTTCGTTCTCCACTAATGTTAATGCATCTACAACTTAAGGAAATGGCAAATTTGTTCTGCTCGGCCGACTTACATTACTTGCTTGCGAATTCGTAATAATGGTACATTTGACTTTTGCTGAAAATTGACATTTGCTTGAATTCTATGAAGGCAATAATTGTTGCTTTTATGAGCAGCGGACATGAGCGACTTCATATGTTTGAAGAATAAATTGATTTTTTATGAATTAAAATGCGTCAGCGCTTCCAGTTCGGAATGAAGACACCAAAATTTTATTTTATTGCATTCATACCTTTATCAATCGCAAATGTTGTCGTACTCGAGTCGCAAACAGTCCAATGATGAAAATGTTGATCATTGGTTTAATGCCTGTGATGATGCATGAAACAGTGGATGCATGCATCAATCCAAATCGTTCCTAAAACTTCTTGAAACTAACGTAAAATTAAGGTGAAGGTCTACAACCATACCTGATAAGCAGTTATGAGCCACAGATTCTTACTGAGGAGGTAAGTGTTGAAAAGTAGAGCAAGAGCAGAAAAGTTGAGCATGAAAACCAGTCTCTGCAATAGGCATGATCGAACAATCGACTCAAAAGTGGTTCCAGAAAAGCAGAGCCGGAATGCCTCAGACTATTGCAAAGCTATGCTTGAACGCTCCACAATTATAAAATCTAACGCGCTTATAAAGTGAGAATTTGGATTATTTTTAAGAATGACATGGTTATAAACACTAATAGGAAGTGGTGAGAAAGTTTCGTGATTTTCCGCTCAAAACAGGGCTTTGATCACATCAAATTGTAAGATACAATTTATTGTTATTGAATCTCTTGCAAAACGATAAAAAAACACTTCTTTTGCATAATTTGTTCGGCGCTATTCCACTTGATACAACCCAAAAATTGAAAACCACGGATTTCGCTGAAAACTCGCCCAGGGGGGGGGGTCATTCGACCTCCTGATTACGAAAATTATGTCCATTTCGCGTGGTGGGGGTTAGGGGTTACGGTAGGAATACGGTATAGGGTCAAAATTTCAGAATTCGCTAAAACTTTGAGTAGGGGGGTTATTCGACATGCTCATCATGAATATCATTTTTTTCGGCACGAAAACCTCTCCCTGTATGGTTACGGTAGGTGTACGGTAGGGGTCAAAACCTAGGTTTGGCTGGAATTTGCTCTGGAATAATTGTTTAGCATGCTGAACATGGATATCATATTGACTTTGTACAGGCGCCATTTTCTCGAGTTATGGTAGGAACACGGTACATGGGGGAAATTTCAAAGCGTTGCCTAGAGGGGTTTTCAAGCATGCTGATAGCGAATATCAGGGTTGCTCGCTACAACAACGCTTTGTTGTGGAGTTATGACAATTTGCAGGGCTTAGGAAAGCATCTTCCCTGCTTTTCAGACCAATCAAGATCCCAAAAATTCACGAAAACGCGTTATAAGCGAATTGAGTGCGGTATTATTGAGCACATCAGACCCTGCACAAAATTTCAGGCAGATACGGTTTTGACCCTTTACCATATACCTACCGAAAGTGTGGCACTTGCGATCAGCATGTCGAATAACCTCCTACGCAAAGTTTTAGCGAATTCCGAAATCCTGACCCCATACCGCATGCCTACCGTAATCCCTCAAAGAAAGCCTTACCATGCAAAATAGATATTATTTTCGTGATCAGGAGGTCAAGTGATCCTTTGGGCGAATTAGCGAAATCCGTGATTTTCAATTTTTGGCTTGTATTAAGTGGAATAGTGCCATTTGGTTCTCCTGTTCTCTTAATGTAGTCATAATGTTCATTTATATAATTTTATAGATTGTATCAAGCCTTACTACCCTCTGTGCTAAATAAAAATGAAATGACACAGAAATTCTGACCGTAATTCTCCTCCAACGATGTTTTCTCTTCGAGTTCGGATTTGGAAATAGTGCGAGTACTTGTAAAGTGAAGAATACTGGACTCAGAGATTGTGAAACGCATGCACTTCTGGAAAATCATATATTGTTCAATTCTAGAAAATTTGTTCGTTTTACCAAACCTACTTGCAATAAGTGCCGGATCGAAGGCTTTGCCGTTCTGCATCCACACTACGTCCATTCAATTCGACATCTTTGCTGTCCTTCGACAATAGGGTGTCCGTCGTCAAACCGTTGGGAATGTTTTCGCTATCGTAGATCACATCCTCTCCTACCGACATTTGCTTGAATGGATACATAGGGGTACTGGAATATATGAACTGAGCAGGAAGTATATCATGTGTAGGAATTACGGATTACGACAACTACTAGCATAAATGATGAAATAACAAGGTGTTATCGACACATAACCAAGGCTATCTATGATCTACGAGATAAGGGGCTTCATATACCTCAGAAGTCATAACAAGAGATTATAGTGTTTTCAAGGTGAGCTGTCAATTTATAATAAGTAGTGCGGAAAAATAATTAGAAATGCGTTTCTCATGATTATTTCGCTCGTAGTTCCCAATAGAAAGCGTGAGATTCGGATTGATGTGAAGATTTCCTTTCGTTGTTCCGGATTAGTAAGCTGTTTGAAAGTGGTTTTGCACAATGTTTGTCGTACAGAAAATATATTGATCTACTACGTTCAACATTGTAAGATAGTGCTGTTTCTTCAAATCAGATTTTGCCCTAGTGAACTATTGTAACGCCAGAGAAAGAAAACATTTCTAGTGCTTCAATGATTGGAGGTTAAGTTACATTGCAGGGTTTCTTAGTATGAGCAAAAAAAGCGAATTTATAAACTGTTTCACTCTTATTGTATACATTCATCTGTTTAGCCTTCTATGAACCCTGTACAGCGCAAGAAACTAGGCAGAATTGTGGTTCATTTTCAAAGATAGCAGAGCTTGTAGAAAACTCAAGCCAGGACAGGTTTGATATATGTTTAGTTTGTTGAAATTGAACCTCTTTTGAGCCTTCAATTCAACCGGATTGGCGGCTGGAAAACGGGGCTTCGTGACCTAGGTAAGGCTAGAGAATAATCGGAGAGCACGAGCGCAAGAGAGACGCCGACTGCGTCACGGGCGCGAGGCAAGCTTAATTAAGTCACAAAGTCCCGCCTTCCAGCCGCCAATCCAGTTGAATCAAAGGCTAAGCACTTGTAAATAGTGTACAAATGCGCATAGCTGCTGTATAAGTAGACTAAGCATATGCTGTATATCCTATTTGAAAAGGCACATGCTACTGTGGCAACGATGACTTTTTGAAGCTTTAGCAAGTATGAGGTTTTCAGGAGAATAATCTCTTCTTCTGGCTTTTTCTTAACACGTTTCGGACCGCGAAATCGCGCGCGGCGAAAAAGAGTGTACTTTCAGCGGTTAGCCTACAAAGGGACCTTAATTCGTAGCCTGTGGGCCACATTTGTAATCAGCATGTCAGATAAGCTCCATATTTAAAGTTCTGACTGAATTCGAAGTGTTATTTTGTCGCGTGAGAGGGACTTTTGTGCTTTCTTGAAAGATAGGAACAAGAACTCAGATTCTAATAGTATTCAAAAGTATCTATCTTGTACACGGTACACATCAGTATTAAAACTACGGTTTTTCTCTTCGATATCGAAGCAAAGGAAAGTTGCGACGTCGCACGCGTCGTTCGCGTCGCCGCACTTCGTTGCAACTGTTGTTCGATTTGTGCTCATATCTCCTAAACAAATATAGCGGCACAACTCTACAGAGTCATTTGAAAAGTAGGAGCTTAATTCTTTGACTCAACAACTTTGGACTAGAAGGAAATCTCCTGCAAACGCCAGAAAGATCCTTCAAAGCAGCGTGCTGCACCATGTGCAGTACCGGTCCGAAACGTGTTAACTGAAATAGATATTCCTGGGGCTAGTGCGGTTATGTACAAGATCTTGAATCTAATTCTCAGGGTTGTTGTATATAAATATTTATGTGAGCGAATTTCCGGACTGCTAGAAGCGGAGTTTGACCATCGTTTATTTTTCCACAACTAATTTGGAATTTGAAGCGAGTAATCGTACGATTATTAGCATGTTATGGCGGTTTTCCATTCCTAAAATTTTTGAAAGCTGAAATGAATGTCAATACACCACAACTGCTGCTACATATGATACGGTACTCCTTTGCTTGTCTATGCTGCTTGTTCGATTGGATACAATAATTTCAAATAGTAGTGTTTCGGAGGTAGAAATTAGCAGAAATCAAGTCCTGGTGAAAACTAGCGTTATTCTGCTCTAAAACATCAAGAAAGGAAGGCTAAGTGTTTTAACAAGTACAAATCTCCTTCTTAAACAAGAAAAATGCACCATGAAGGACACACTCCAGCAAATGTAGAAGCAAAATAAAATCTAGAAGTAGAGAAATGCGCTCTAGAGTGCTCACTCCACATGTAGTTCAGAAAAACAACTTTCTCTCTTATTTAGACACAAACTCAAATCAGCGTGGGCATCTTTTACGGCATGCGAAAAATCACGTATAAAAAGTTTCATTAAGCAAATCTCATTTGAGTTCATTCCGCTCCATTATCTCTGAGCCTTCCAATATCTGCGAAGAAATGATTTTATGTCTTGGAGATGTAATGCAAATAGAGAAAAAGTGTCTTTGAAGACAAATCCGAAGGCATTCCGATGGTAATGTGAAGTCAAGTAGGCATAAAGGCGGGTGGAAGGGGATGTGAATAATTTTCAAGCATCTTATTCCAACTAGAACTCCATTGAACATAAATGAAATATTACTAATCATCCGGCCAGCAAACTGCGTCCACTTCCATCATTTGGGACCCTACAGTATGTCTGAAAAGTGAAGCACTCTCTGAGCGCAGGATGAAATTTAAGACAAAGTTTGGCAAGAGTCTTATAGTGAGGCTAAGCTTGCTTTTATTAATTCTAGGCAAATCGAAATTACCTCGGTTACTACGAGGTACTAGATGAGCAATTTATGAAGAACCATCAACTCAACTGCTGCTCAAGTAATTTTCCTTGCTTCATTAGTAGCATGGTCGACTAGTCTTATCAAATCCCAATTAAGAGTTCATGCTTTGAGTTTTTGGGTAGTGAGGGGTTGAGAAAAGTTCCTCAAAAAGTCCGATCCTTTTTTATTGCATACAATGAAGCGTGTAAACAATTTGGCTATATCACTTCCCGTCCCATATGGCAGAAATTACGCGCTCTTTCTTTAACATGAGTGTCAAAAATACAAGGCATTTTTTGAGGTTATAACATTGACATGCAGTCCATCGCAGCATCTTCTAAGCAGTTGTGAAAAGCTAAATATCAAGTTACGAAGCAAACAATCCCAGCGTATTGTAGAGCTTAAGAATAAGTAAGAACTAACATTATTGAGGACGTGTGGTCCCAAAGAAAAAAAAGAATGCGGCAGTTCTTTCATTGTCTTAAAAAAATTCGGTGGGTCATTAGTGCGCTTTTTTCGCTTTGTGAATGTCTTGGGAACACTTCGAGGAGCAATTCTTTGTTAATGACCACTTGTCCGTTCTAATAACGAGGTTACGGTAAGGTCTGAGTTTTTTGCATCTAAAAAAGTTTGATGGTTTTGAATATCTAATACTCCAGCAGCCTACCAGACATACGAGTACACAAAATGATATACGATGAGGACCCATAAGTCTTTCAATATTAACAATGAAAGAATGTGCGCTATTCCTATCTCAACTTTTTGCGGAGTTAGTGTTTATAAATAACAACAGCATAATATTCAACGAGTCGTTTGTAACCTAAAATGCGTATTGCACACTATACGCGCTACTTTACGGTTTAAGATTAGAAATTTGCTCATTTCCAATGAATTTTCGCGATTTTCTAGTCTTTTTTGGTTTGATGGAATATATATTACTTGTTAGCGGCACATTTCTCTACAGTTGTTACGCTAGAAAATGTTCTACTCGGGGGTTACCATTAACGGTGTCGTCAGTTGCCGCGCATGGTGTGCAGGCTCAAATTTTGAGTTAAAAATGACTCAATCATCTGTACAAATCTATAAGTAGTCTAAACTTCTAGACATCTCATTCTAGTTATTCCCTTGTTAATATGACATGAAAGTAGCATGAGCAACACTCACCTGTACGTGGTTAAGTTAGAGCTTGTGCCATTTTCTAAAGAATTGAATATAAAAGGTATAGGTGCACTGTGTGATACTCTTGAAGTAGGTGTGCAACATTGGAAGAAAGTGGGAGGAGCTGGAAACTGAATAGGGAGGCGGGACGAAGTAGCCAAGAATTTAGCTATTGGATTCTGCATTTTCTCACGCTTTATTGAAAAATTACAAAACTGCATAGCTCATTGCTAAAAATGTTATGTTCTTAGCTTAATATTATTAAAGAAGCATAATTTTGACAGAGCGAGGGATGGAATTGAGGAAAAGGAAAACGGCAAGACGGAGGGGGAGGGAAATAGTGGGAGCTTCCTGCGCTGACATTATACAGTACTTTGTGTAATAAACGAAGAGTTATGAATTTCTGACTAAACACTCTGCCTGCATGATATTTCTTAGAGATTCCATTAAAACGTTTAGATTCGAGTTTGTAAACACCGTGGTACTCTGTGCAACCAAACGGTAAGCGATTGTTTTTAAGTTGGCGAGAAAATCTTTAGTTTTAGTCTTTCAAAATGATGTTTAAGAGATCCGGTTGAAAGCTCTGCTTTGTTTATTTAAGCCGTCATATGGTCACGCAATCGTCAATCTGTGAAAAGCGAAGCAAAACGAAGAATATTGCAGCCAATAAAAGAAGTCCAATGAGTTCCTACTCAATCAAGAATAAGTTTTTCTTTCAAATGCAACGCATCCTGATTTATGATTGGACTAATTTTGTTTGACTTGAATTTTGTCGCTTTACCGAAAACCTTAGAAATGATTTGTCATTTCTTTTTGTGGGTCATCGCACATCATCTGAATTTTCTATACATTCTCAATGGTTCCTTTTGCTGCTTTGTCCTGACGTACCCTCACGGTGTACCACATGGAAGATACTCTACAAAAACTGGTCAGTGGTACCCAATTCTCCAGCAAAAGCGTTTTCTGAATAGCACTTGACCTGCAGATTTGCAAAAATGAGAATGGTCTCGAGGAGTGATATAGAAGATAAGAAGAAGGAATAAGGCGAAATTGAAGAAAGTAAGAATCAATGTGTAGAAATTCGCACCATCTGAAGTTAGTTCTTCAAGTTTACCTATCCAGGAATTTTCTATAAAAGGAGACTCCTGTAATTATTTAACCAGTTGACATGATAT